CAGTATTTGATTATTTTTATATTTTTAAAATAAATTTTAAATATTTATTCGAAAAATATGTCTAGTTCTTTTATTTTATTTTTCCGCTCTAAAATATATTTTTTATAAAATTCTCCAATTCTCCACTCGACATTTTCAAAATTTTTGTGTTAGAAAGAATAGAAATTAGAACAGTATGTATAATTATTATAAATATATTTTAAATTACTTAATATATTTTATATCGTTATCTAGAATTGCAGGGCTCCACTCGACATTTTCAAAATTTTTGTGTTAGAAGAATAGAACTTTTAGAAGTGGATATTATTCTAATCTCTAATTCTTTTAAATAAAGTTAGTGGATGAATAATATTGATTAAATAATATTTTTCACTACTTTTATACTATTCCATAAAGTATATGTCAAGCAAAAGATTATAAATATAATTGAAATATTATTCAACAATAGCTCAGTTATAACAAACGACTATCTACCAAATATTATCATTTTAAAAATATGCGTACCATCATGCAAAATACATATGCTATCTGTCATCACAATGTGGGTCGAATCTTTTCCACATAATATTTAACGACTCCAAAATAAGTGCTAACTTTACTTGTGGTAGGACAAAAATGAGCAAGGCTATCACAAATATGTTAGGACCTGAATCCAAGAGGTCAATTCTAGACGATTTGAAAGAAGGACATCCATATGCTATTTTAACAGATGCATCAAATAAGGGAAATATTAAAACATTTCCCCTCATCCTTCGCTATTTCAACAAGAATAAGGGCATTTCTATAAAACTATTGAAATTTTTTTCATCCGATAATGAAAAATCCAACGATATAGCTAACCACATAATGGTAAATATAGCGGATTCAGGGTTATCAATGAGTTGCATGTCAGCTTTCTGCGCTGATAATGCCTGTTAATTTTGGCAAGAATCAAAGTGTATTTACCGAATTGAGGCAGCACAATAATGAATTAATACCAATTGGCTGTATATGCCATATACTGCATAATTCTTGCAAGAAGGCAATGTATGTACTATCTGTAGATGTCGAAGTAATTGTGATGAAATGTTTTAACGAATTTAGTTTATCAACTAAAAGAGTCACTGAATTAAAAGAATTGGTGGAGTAGTCTGATTTGGAATGGTGTGAGTTGTTGCGATATGTACCTATCAGGTGGTTATCATTAATACCTGCCATCGAGAGAATTTTAAAATTTTACGAACCCTTAAAGAAATACTTCTTAAATAAAGATTTTAAAAGCTGTCCTAAAATTTTGAAAAATTTTTTCGAGGATGAAATGTCAGAAGCATATTTGGGATTAGTTTCACATGTAGGAAATCTACTTCATGTAGTTAATATTCAGTTGCAATCAAAAGATACTTTATTGATAAAGATTCACAAAATCTTGCTACAGCTCTGTTCATCTCTACTGTTAAAAATAGATAATAAATTTTACGGCGCTGTTGCTAAAAATATTATATTAAAATGTTCAAATAATACTCTAATTAATACATTTTAAAATGAAGCAGATATTTTTATTAAGGCAATTTTAGAATATTTACAATCAAAATTTGATTTTAATAACTTCTATTTACAAATGTTTAAATATTATGACCTTGGAACAGAAACCATCATTTGATGGTTTTTGTAATTTATTAAATATATTAAAATTACCGATAGACATAGAAGCCTTGTTTGAAGAGATTGTAATTTTTTCCATTTTTTATGATTCGCCAGAATACTTAAAGTTAGATGGTCTAAAAGCAGAGGAGAAATGGGTGGAATTTTTTCGTAATAACGATAAATCCCCATGCTTGGAAAAAATTTGTGAGTATGTTTCTCCTTACCTCATTCTAATGCCTCATCGGAGCGCATTTTTAGCCTGATGAGGACTGCCTGGAGAAAGGAGAGAAATCGAATTGCTTTAACAACATTAGACGCCGAGTTAATGGTTAAACAAAATTATAAAATGCCATGCCAGGAATTTTATAAATATCTTAATAACGACGGTAAACGTTTAGTTCCATTATTTAAATCTCAAATAAAATATAATTAACTATAACTATTTGACTTTCTATATTTTATAAAATCTTATTTATACATTTGCATAAAATCAAATTAATTTATTTTTTACATTGTAAAATTAATATTTTGAATATTTTGGCAAATCATTAAAATAAAGAAGCATTACAATCTCCTCAAACATGACATTATATTAAATCTTATTAATAATTACGATAATAGTAATAATATTCTTACTTTGGTATTTCTGCAGCATAATTTAGTGAACCATTATTAAATTATATTCTTCTGATTGCAACTGCATATTAACAGCATATAGTAGATCTCCTATATGTAAAATTCCTAAATATACTTTTGCCATTTATTTTTGAAATTTCAAAATATTAGGACAGCTTTTATAATCTATTTATTTTTTAAAGGTTTGTAAAATTTTAAAATTCTACGATGGCGCGTATTAGGAGGAACCTGTCAACCAACATTATGCTGACTCAATTCTGTAAATACACTCTGGTTTTTGCCAAATTCACTGAGGAATTATTATATCAGAAAGCTGCCATGCAATTCATTGGTAATGCCAAATCTGCCATATGGATATTTCATATCTGGAGAAAAATTTTTTAATAGTTTTATTGAAATGACATTAATTTTGTTGAAATAGGGGATGATCAAGGGAAATGTTTTGATATCTCCTTATTAGATACATCTGTTAGAATTGCATATGTTTGCACATCTATTAAATCGTCAAGAATTGACCTTCTGGATTTATATCCTAAAACATTGATATTAGCCTTGCTCATTAGTGTTCTACAAAGTATACTTTTTATTTATATTAGTCGTTAAATATTTTGGGGAAAGATTCTACCAACATTGTGATGTTAAGTAGCTCTCTTAATATTATACTGCATACCATTTCCGCAACTGTAGTTGAATCTGTATTATTTCTTATTTTTGAAGAATATTTTTGTTTTGCAATAGATGTTGATAGACTGTCCTGTACTGATTTATGCTTTGAAGATTTTTGATGCCTCAAAATATCATATTCCCTTCCCCCATTGTATTAACTAAATACTGTAGAACAACTTCCCTGCACTGATTATAATTATTTTTTACATTGTAAATTTAAAATTGTTTGTAATTTTATAAAATCTTTATATACATTAGCATAAAATATATTTTTTTACATTGTAAAATTACAATTTTTTTATAAAATTTTATCTTGTTATTCTTTTGCATTTAAAAAAGATCGTTGGTTATTATTTTAAACAAAATTAATATATTATAATAAATCAATATGTTATTTTAATAATAAAGATAGTATTTAAGAAATTTTGCGTCGTACTATAATTACCTATTTTGAAAAATAGCTGCGTATTTTATTTTGGAAAATAGTTACCTATTTTATTTTGAAAAAGAGTTGGATATTTTATTTTGAAAAATAGTTGGCTATTTTATTTTGAAAAATAGTTGGCTATTTTATTTTGAAAAAGAGTTGGATATTTTATTTTGAAAAATAGTTGGCTATTTTATTTTGAAAAATAGTTGGCTATTTTATTTTGAAAAATAGTTGGCTATTTTATTTTGAAAAATAGTTGGCTATTTAATTTTGAAAAATAGTTGGCTATTTTATTTTGAAAAATAGTTGGCTATTTTATTTTGAAAAATAGTTGGCTATTTTATTTTGAAAAATAATTACCTATTTTATATTTATAAAAAATAATAAGCGGATAACTGGCCGGGCTTTTGCTGACCGTTTTTTAGCAATTTTCATATTTCTCCCACAATTTTTATATTACTCCCACAAAATACCGAATTTCTCCCACAATTTGAAAATTTTGACCTGGCAACCCTGATCATATAGTGTTAAAAAATTTGATTCGGGTTGATTTATAAAAACAATTGGATTAAAGTTTTACACAAAATAATATTATGTAAGCTTAAAGATATTCCTTATAGATGGCTGCAAGTAGTGTTGTTAAACGGCTCTTTTTGAGTCGATTATTAAAAATGGCATCCAGAAAAATATTACGCGAGCCTGAAGATTTTGCTCATAGAAGGAACAAAGGTCTGCTAGACATACATTATCTAAATCTAGAGGCTTATGAAATATTTTTCTGGCTAAAATATTTAGTTTGACGTTTTAAAAAATCGGCTCAAAACGAGCCGTTTAACAACACTAGCTGCAAGGACGTCTATTTATCAAATCTTAAGGCTTACATAATATTATTTTGGCTAAAATCTTAATGGGGCTATTTTCAAAACTTGACCCAAATCGGACATTTTAACAATACTAATTTCATCAGATATATATATATAATTTTTTTCAAATGATAGTTGAACCGCAGTTACTTCTCTCCTATTATATTCTTATATTTTTAAAAATTTACAAAAAATATTTTCCACTGACCAAATAAATTTGCAAAAATTTTTATAGGGGCAGGCACAATTATTTTGGGAGAGGGGACAGGTCCTTAATAAGTCTAGAATTGGACCTACTCCTACTGTAATGTAAATATTGGATAAGATATAAGAGCATCTCTGAACTTTCAAAAATCACCCAAAAAAATATTCATTTAAAAAAATGAAGAAATTATGTTAAGAAAATATTTTGAAACAAATGAATGAATTCTCAGCAAAAATTTTTATCATAAGCTTTGTTTATTAAATGCGTTATCAAAATTAATTGTACCAATTTTATAAATTAAATTCGTAATAATTAGATTCGATAAATAGTTATATTGTTTATAAGTAAAATTTGATTCATTTTTTCATTCATCCTGACTGAGAATAATCGTGAGTTTTATTTTCTTTTCCTTATACACTACATGAATAACTATTATTTTTACTTAAAAAATTAAGCAAATACTTAGATTTCAAAATAGTTACATCATTCTATCTATTTTTTTTTAAATTTAATTCCTATATCAATAACCATCCTAATTTTGACTTTTACTAAACATATTTTATTTCTTTTTTAAAAAAGGCTTATTAATAATAAGAAACCACAAACATCATTCAATTTCCTTATATTTTACACATCATGACCCTTGAAAATGATACTATAAATATTGGTGAAAAAATATTGTCACAAATCAATTACTACTTTAGTGATTATAATTTAAGTAGAGATGTATTTCTATTGAATAAAATGAAAGAAAATAATGAAGGTTGGATCAGCATAGATACCTTAATTAAATTTAATAGACTAAATCAAATATGTGATCAACCAGACCTGATTTTGAAGGAGTTATCACAAATTATAAAACTCAAAAATTCAGATGTCGATAAAGGATTTTTAGTTGTCGACATGGAAAATAGGCAAATTAAAAGAAATAATGATGAATATCCTATTCCAAAAGATTTTAAAAATTATTTTAAAAAATTGATTAATCATTCTATATATGCAAAGGGATTTCCTAAAAACTCCACTCTTGATGAAATAAGCAAATATTTTGCAACAAATTTTGGTCCTGTATTAAATGTTTATTTACGTTATTATATCATTAATGATAAAAAAACAAAGAGCATGCAATCAAAAAATGATGGAAATGTTAATAATTTACAATCAGACAATAAAACAAAAACTTTTAAAGGTTCAGTTTTTGCCACATTTGAAAATGAGTGTGATGCTAACAAATTCTTAGAAACTCCAACATTATATAAAGGAAAAGAATTAATTAAAATGTATAAACATTTATATGAAGCTCAAAAAAAGTTAGAATATGAAGAAAGGAAAAACTCTAAAAAAGATAAGAACCCTATGGCTAATGGAACAGAAGGTAATTTTTAATTAACTTATATATATATATTTATTCATTTTTAGATGATAAGAAAATTGTATCTGATAGAGTACAACAATTAATTCAAAAGGGTAATATTTTACATATTGTTGGTTTTGATGTTAGTGATGACAAAACAACCAGACATACACTTAAAGAAGTTTTTGACACTTATTCAAAAGTAGCTTGGATTGAATTTGAACCTGGAGATAAGCAAGCTTATATTCGTTTTACGGGAGAAGAGAATGTTGCAAAATTAGTATTAGATAAATTAAAAGCAGAAATAATAACAAATGATGAACAAGTTTCTGATAATATAATCAAAAATGATGTAATATCAGATAATTGTGACATCTCCATAAAAAATAATACAGGTGATAATGATAAGAAAATACCAGATATTAATGACAGTTTAACTAAATGCAATATGGATTGGAAATTAAATTTGGGTGAGAATTATCCTAAATTACAATGCAGAATATTGAAAAATGATGAGGAATTTAATTATTGGGTAGGAATTGTTGATAAAATAACAAAAAGCAGTAATAATAATAACAATTTTAACAAAAAAAAGGGCAAAAAGAATAAACAAAAAGGAAATTTTAATAACAAAAAAAACTTTACAAGGAAACGAAAAGGTGAAGAATCCAACACAAATGTCTCCAAAATTCAAAAAACAGATTAATTACAAATAGAATGTAATCATATTAATAAATATTTGTATAAAAAAATAAAAAGTTTTATATATCTGACTAAATTTTGTATTTTATGTATCAGCCAATTTATATCACCTAATTGATTAAATAATCCTGAATAGCATGTTATTAATACTCTACTTAATTTTGAAAATATTGTAAAAATTAATTTTTTTGACTATACTAAGAATCCCGGAAATGGCTCATATTTAAAAAAATTAATATAGAATCATGTATAGTCTTTAAGAGGATTCTGAAGATGTTGATATTAACTCTTTAAATTTTAATATTAAAAAAGGATTTTTTTACTAAACCAAGAATCTCCATTAAAAGATGCAATCAAATTTAAAAAAATAAAATTAGGTATATAACTCTTCAAGAGGATTCAGAAAATTTATGTTAACATTTTTTAATATTAAAATATTGAAAATATTAATTTTTGCCTTGGGATTCATAGTTTAGTCAAATTTTTTTTAGTGTTTTTCCAATATCCCACTAATATTTAAAAAGAAAATTAATTATGTTTACATTTTTTGAATCACACTGAAGATATAAAATTGAATCTATTTGAATTTTTTAATAATAGTCCATAATAAGGATTCTTATTTTAGTCATAAAATAAAATCTTTTTTTACAAATTTACCAGTTTGAAGAGATAAACGGAAATATATCTTATTTTTATATAATGTTTGTTTAATAGAAGATTTGTAGTTTTCGATGTGGCATATTTTAGTTATACCCATTTTTGAGGGGGTGTGTAAATTATCAAGGGGCTGGGCCAAAATTTTTTCATTTTCAATCTTTTCTGTCAAAGTTACAAAGGGAAAGGTAGTCTAAAACAGGTACGAATCTTAAAAAAAAATATTTTGGTTAAAGGCCAATAAAGTTAAGTAGGCTCAGGAGAACCAGGTTCAGTTAGGGTTCATGAATTAGAGGTGGACGCGGGCCGTGTACGCGTGGCCCATCATGTAACGGTGGGTCACGACGTGAGTGTGAATAAATTTTAAATTATTGGGCGTGACGGGACTTCCCAAAATTTTTCCCGGACGTGAACATAAATTCCCGTGAATCACGGAAATTTAATTTTTTTTTATAAATATAAATTTGCAATTTTATTATTATAATACATATTTTCTAAATAATTTATTTCTTTTTAAAAAAAGAAAAAATTTTGAAAACAAAAAATATTCAGGCGTTTTATAAACAACATCTGGTGTCACGCTCCTAGTTCTATTTTCTTTTTATGTTTAGGTGTTTTGTCGCGAGATTTTTTTACTTAAACTTTAAAATTTATTCTCAAGCACTTGAGGTAGGCTTAATTCTAGATCCTAATTTCAAAAGCCTTAAGTTTTAAATAGACGAAGAAAAGGAAGATATTTACAAAACAATCTTAAAAATGTGAAATGATATAAAATTAGATGATATGCATAAGTCAATGCCAACTGTCATTTATAATTTTCCTAATTAATCTTACATTCATAAAAACCCATATATTCTAAATGAAACATATTTTTAGATGATTCTGATGAAGCATCAACATCTACCGATGAAAGCTGTGTGAATTTAAAAGATTTATCCCATAAAACAAATAACAATATTTTGAAGTTTTGGAAGCAGGAAAATTTATTTCCTTTTTGATAATTAGAGAGTAAAATTTTGTCAGCCCTGGCAAATTCGGCTTCTAGTGAAAGATTATTTTCTGTAGCCAATCGCCTATTAGAGGAAAGGCGTACACAATTTAAATAAATAAAAATAGACATTCTTTTTTTTCTAAGTAAAAATTTGGAAATATAATATGTATTTATTTTTTGTTATTATGGATTATGGAATTAAAGAAATAAATAGAATAAATTCAAAAAAGTGTAAAAAATTATATCATTAAAGTTTTGAAAAATTTAAAAACACCGTGAATTTTCGGACGTGAATCAAAATATTGCCTTTCCTGAGCGGGCGGGTCGGGTCAAAAATTTTTTAGTGGTAAGCGTGAATGGGTGTGAATATTTTTTATTGCCACCATGAGCTGGCGGGCCGTGAATAAAAAAATTAGGCCCGCGCCCACCTCTATCATAAATTTTAAACATGAAAAGTATATTATTGATTTATTTGTAGGTAAAAATACAAAGCATAAAAAAGCAGGGTTTTATCATAATGAATATTGGTTTGGGTTCAGTTTGATTATAATAGATGAGTATTATTTTAAAAACTAGAACATTCTAGATGATTATTATTATATCTTAAAATGTAGAAAATTATTAGGTAAGATTATGGTTTATGAGCCATAATTATCATTGTTTTTCATTTATTTATTTATCTGTTTATTGGTTTTTGAAACTAAATAAAAATTAGATACACAGGATAAAATTTAAATAAAGGGCAGGGTAAATTGGGTATTAAAAATCTTTATGGATTATAAAGATGTCTTGCATATTATAATTTATATACATATTATTTCTTACTTAGATTGCATACTTTTATGAATTATAAATTTTTTTAACAGGTGATTGTTTCTTAATGGTCGCTTATCATTACTTATAAGCTTTTTTTCTAATTACATATTATCTGAGCATACAATTAAATACTTGATTCTTTATTCAAAATATTTAATTTTAAAATATAAAAATGTATGACAAAATATATATTCTATATATTTATAATATCTAACTATTAAAAAAATGGTTAAAATTAGAAAAAAACTATCTTAAAAAAAAATAAAATTCAACGAATCTTATGACAGATAAATGAATAAAGATAACCGATGGCAATTTTGGCTCACAAAACATAATCTTACCAATTATTATATCTTATTGATTTTGAATAATTATGAATGTATATACATAATATGATAAAGTCTACTCACTATTATGTTAGTTTACCATAGTCTATTCAATTGGCGACAAAGGTAAAAAATATTTATATGATGAATATTATAACCTTAAATAGTGGAAATTTAACCTTAAATCATGGTGATTTTACAGGTAAAAGAAAACTGGCAGACTTATCTGTTAAATTTGATAAATTCGATGGAGAGAGTTCAATATCCCATTATATTTTTAACTTGGGAAGCGAGTTTTCGTTTAAAAAATGTAAGTCCAACTGAACTCAAATATAAAATTATATTTTTAACGTTTGAAAATAGGAAATTAGAAATATTAAGTAACAATAATGAAAATACATCAAATGGCGGAAATTGGATCTTACATTGTAGATTATTATTACGCTTTTATATTAATTTATATTTGAATTTTATTATATTTTATACAAAAATATATTTCCTATTTGTTCCAAATAGCTTATTTTTTGATACCATCTCGGTAACATTTCGTACATTTTAAATAATGATAATAAGTTGTTTTTATTAATATTAACATATTTATAAAATTATTTCTAACTATATACTAAGGAAACCCGCCGAAAGGGGTCTGGAGGTTGAATCCCATATAAATTTATTAATTCCTTCCACACCCCTTAGGAAATCCTGGCTACGCCTATGAGATATAATAATAAATTTATTATTCATTTCCTGCTCAGAATTCTATTTTCCTATTTAAAAAAATTTACACAGCCAAAATAGTTGAAAATAAAAATTAGAGCCAATTCAAAATTTTTTTAAAAAAAATAACCAGACTTGGGATGAATATAATTTTTTTCAAATACGGACCAGGCCATACAATAGGTTTAAGTACCACGGCGAGATCAAAGGTAATTTGAGTGCACTGCTTATATCTCTTTGGTGGATACTTGAAATTATTTTACCTTTGTGGATTAAATCTTCAGTTTTTATTGTTTGTCCCTAAATTAATAAATAATGGATGAAAAAATTCTTTTTTATAATAAGGTGTGATATAGTCTACCAACTAAACACTTTTCTAACATTAAAAATGAGTGTATTATACTTTTCATCTAAAAAAATATCTTTAAATAGTAAATTTATTCTATGAATTAATATCGAGTTCAAATTTCCTTGGCGTTATATTTATCTACAATTTTAAAAATTCATACCAAATTATTTGAATTTATTACGATTTGATTAAAACTAATATAATATCTGAAGACATTATATTTGAATTTAAGGAAATTAGGGCAATTGATTACAAATTTCATAAATTATGTCATTGTTGAAGCAGAGTTTTATGAATTTAATATTTGTCTATCTTGACTTAATATTATATAAAATACATCGCTTTATCTCCTTCTTGGATACTTTTATAACTCAAGTGAATTAGAAGTTCTTGATTAATCAATTAACACGACATAATTTATTTAACATTTTATAATTAAAATTTGCAAATAGGTTTTTTTAACAACATAAAAGGGCGATGCGCTTAAAGAATAAAAGATGACAATACTTTATATAAAAAAAATTTAATAATTTTTTAAGATTAAACAAGTGTTACTATTTATATATAGATATACGATATTTTATTTATGCAAGATATATGTTTTTCAAAAAGATATTATTTAAAAATAATTAACTATTGTTTAATAATTCATTTATAAATGAATATAAATAATTAATTATATATTTAAAATGTAGGAATATAAATATTAATATATACATGAATTATTATATTCATCAACTAGATATGGTTAATAACAGTGGCGTCGCTAGGGGGGGGGGCGCAGGAGCTCGAGCCTCCTGAAGAATTTGAATAGCCTCCTGAAGCAAAAAATTTTTTTTAATGGCTCCTTAATATCCCCTTGAACTAAAAATAAAGTTTTCTAATTGACCACTGAATGCAGCTTGCAATCAAATTCTGTGTTAAAAATAGAATATTAATATCACTCACTAAATATTAATTTGGCATTAAAAGTTGAAGCTTTATTGACTTTTATTATTTAAATTATTATATAACCCTAATTAAATAAATATTAATTGAAAAATAACAAATTTAATATTGCAATTAGCCGAGTTCAAAATCACTAATCAACTATATTATTATATTTAAATTTAATTACCATGCCTCTTCTTAAAATTATTTTCAAGGTCCAAATCCAAATAAGTATAAGAGATTTATTTATAAAAAGTAACTAAACATATAGTTTATAATCTCTATTAGATATAATTGGTTATAAAATATTATGTTAAATACCACTTTTACAGACGTATTTGACAGTTATATAATATATTACAGTTAATATTTTAATAAATTTTACTAATAAATGCTTTTGATAATAAATATAAGTAATAAGTTGCTTTTATATATTTAACGCCATCTATTTATATAAAAATATTTTTATAAATTTAACATCTTATTATTTATCCCAGAATGGATATAATAAATTAGATAACTTTTCTTCTTATTTTTACGTGTTCTTAGGAAAGCTATTTTTTTCTTATTTGAAAAACAGTTTTGAGTTAAATTTTTAATACTAGTATATTTTTGATATTATTAAAAACTACTAATATTTTAAGATATAATATACCAATACAAACTAGAGGTGGTGCGACAATAATGTATAAAATCTTAATTAATTTCTTTTATCATATCACTCTGGTTCTTATTTTATAGTTACAAAATGTTTCATTTCTAATATGGCATCCCTGCCTTGTAAATAACTTAAGGCTTCAATACATTTGCATAATTTTTTCTAAAGATTTTTAGTGTTTTTGTTTTATCAATTTATCTAGCATAATAAACTCTGATATAAGTTAATATAGTGAGTGGCATTGCTATGACTGCAAATTAACCAGCATCTATTATTTGTGTGGCTATGTAATTTAAGATTATTATTATAGCTGCTGAGAGCATATGATTGCATATTTTATAAGCAATAATGGTCAACTGTGTATTTGTTTATATATCATTAAAAGTGGAAGATAATCTTTTAGAAATTTAATATCTCACAATTTTTTTCTCAATTACTTGTCAATGTAAGTTGTTAATTTTATAATATCTAGTTTTTAAAAACCATTATCAATTGAGGCATATGTATGAATTAATTAACCTTTATCACTTGTAATTCTTTAACGCAAAATTTTTTTTATATCAGCAATCGAAAATATTTTATACTGTAATAAATAGATTTTGTATTAAAAAATAATATTTTTAAAAATGTCTTATTTTGTTTTAATTATTTACATGCTAGTTTATTTTGTATGTATAATATAATAAATGACAATGATAATCAGAATAATTTATCAGAGTTAGCAAACTTTAAAAAAGTATAATATATTAAATAAAACCCTGCCGAAGGCCGGACTAATGCGGGCCAAAGGCCCGCAAATGAGGGGTATGGGGGGCTTCCCCCCCCCCCATATAAATTTTTTTTAGTTGAGCCCTCTGAGATTTTAAAGGCTAGCGACGCCCCTGGTTCATAATATACAATAAGAAAATTACAAGAATATTTCCGCTAGATGGAGCATTTTAAAAAAATTAATTTGTTTATTTTTAATAAAGATGAGGTTTAATTTACAACAGAATATATATTTTATATATAAATCAAAATTTATGTAAAAGCTTTTTGATATTTTTAGAAGAAAGGATTAATTGATAAATTACAAAATGGAAGAAAAATTAAATATAACCCCAGACAATTAATGCAAGCATATAAGTTTATAAAAACCAGGAAAATATGTTTTATATAGTGAAAAAAAAATTATTGACATTATTATATTTTTAACTAATTAATTCTAATATTTATTTGAAAATTTTAGCTTTCTTTTCTCGCAAGATGATGAAATGAAATGTTTTTATATCTACGAAAAAAAAATAAGCATTTTCTAAGTCACATCCTATTCTATATAATAATAAAGTGATCAGCAGGAATAAAAATAATAGAAAAAAAAAAGAAGTCGGTGATATAAACATTATATCTGTAAATTAAAAAATAGTAAAAAAATATGTATTTTAAAATTCATTCATATTAATTATTTAAAATTATTATCCCGCAGCTATCATATTATCACTGTCTTAGAATTTTAGAATAAAAATAAATTATTAATTTATATATATATTATATATAGTTACAATTAATTATTACTTAATAAAGGTATTGAATTAAAAGAAACTTATTTCCACATATACATGTCATTTAGATTTAGCTTGTAATTATTTTGTTAATAGAAAAAGTTAAAAATCCGGTAAAAACACATTCATTTAATTGATAAATTAAAATAGCCTGGATTATGATAATTTGTATATGTTGGATTAAAATATACAATTGAAAAATGTGCAATGCAGAGACATGAGTAATTGTTTGGTATAAAAAAAATCTCTTTTAACTGCATGGATCCACTTACTTTAAAGAGCTTTATTGCGTTTCTCGTCACCTCTAGATGACACATTCATTTAATTGATAAATTAAAATAGCCTGGATTATGATAATTTGTATATGTTGGATTAAAATATACAATTGAAAAATGTGCAATGCAGAGACATGAGTAATTGTTTGGTTTAAAAAAAAATCTCTTTTAACTGCATGGATCCACTTACTTTAAAGAGCTTTATTGCGTTTCTCGTCACCTCTAGATGAAGGTAACAAATTGTCCTTTTCTTCAAAAAAATACTTTACAGCACTTATATTATCTTCTTATCAAATTAAAATATATTTATCCCATGTTTTAAAAATTATATACAATTTCCTTAAAATATTATAAATTTATCTGAAGTTTATATCTTATCTAGAGGTCACGCAATAATGATTATAATATATATCGCCTTGAGGTAAAGCTGTTATTGGTAAAACGGGTAAAATGTTCTGTCTGATTAAAGCTGCAAAAATGGAAATTTTAAAATTTTAGCGTCTACCCCACATAAAAAGATATTTTTGAGCAATAAGGAAATAGTTTGAATAAGTTTTATAAAAATAGTTCTCAAGGGTGAAGAAAAATTGAAATATACAATGTGCCTAAAATGGCAGACTCAAAAATGCATTTTTGATCATTTCTTTACATTTCTTTATTTGTATTGATTAGTTTATGCTTAAAAGTAATAAATAGATATCAAAATTGCTAATATTTTGTTCAATAAAACAATACTTATGTTCATTTTTATTTTGCTTTTTTTTTATTTCATGAATGAGGAGTAGTATACATATAAATCTATAATTTGTTGAGTTTTGCTTTTGTTTAAATTTTTTTTTTTTAGTAAAAATGCAAAATACAAATTTATTATAAAGATCTCCTTCACTTTACCTAAATAAAATATAGCATTTCACTGTTTTATTTCTGACTTTTGTTTCATGTGTTTATCTGTTAATTCATTTTTATTTAAATTCTTTTAAAAATATAACCTTTATAAACTTATGATAGAGACATACTTAAACTTTCATGTTGAAATACTAAAATTAATTTTAAAAGTTTAACGACTAACTCTTCTAGAATTGTATTTCAATTGTTATAATAAACGTGTAAAAAAATTTGTTATTAATTATGAAAAACCGGGATCCAAGGTATATATATATATAAATATATATCATTTTTACAATTTTTTTAAAATTATTATTCCAAGTAAAAAAAAGGAAGACCTGATTTGCAGATTTAATCAAAGAATTCTTAAAGAAGAAGATGATTATATTGTAATTAATACTAATAAATTTATAATTAGTCTTTAAAATAATTAAAAGGATATTCATGGTTTTAAAAAACACAAAGTCAGGAATTTATTAATATGGATATTAATTATATTGAGTGGAGGTACACTTTCTCTATTATTCCACTGGAAGCCATTATGGAAATTGAAAGCTATGAATGTTATCGCGCAATTAGACACATGCGATAAAGTTTTGATTCAGGTATTATAATTAATGAGAAAAAATAACAGGAATATTGTTGTTAAAAGGCTCGATTTTTAAAAAACGGCGAAGGCAAGCATTGAGATTTTGTTAATAGATGTTCAATTTCTGCCATCTATAAGCAAATCCTCCAGGTTTATTTAATATTTTTCGAGCCATTTTACAACAACAAACAGAAAAAATATGAGATCCATAAAAGTCCAAGAGATGTTTTTTGGACCCGAGGTCGAATAAATTGCATAAAATATTTTTTTTATTGGCCGTTACAAAATTTTAAAATTTTTTTAAAGCCGTTAGTTAAGTAAATTTATGTCATTCTCCTTCACAAAAATAAACTATAATGGACCAGGTCTGACAACTTTAAAAAATAATTTTATGGTGTAAGCTGGCCGTGCTAACCTCTAACTTTAGATGTTATTCAATTAGGAATCAAATACGAATTGTTTATTATTCGATTAGTATTCATTTTTAAATGAACCTAATGTTTTATTTTTAAAAAAAATGATGATGACAAGAAATTATAATTTATTTAAAAATATGTTAAACAAAGCTATTCAAAAGAAAATAATTATATTTATATATTATTTTTTTAAATAAAATAGGACAAGTATGGACAAAATTTTATCGAGAATATCAAAAACCAGATCAAACATCATCACAATTGGTAATAAAATATGAGATATAAAAAATTTCGGAGGTTGAACGCTGATGAAATATAGTTTCCCTTGATATTATTTTTTTTAATGATAATAAAATCTTTCTTTTGAGATTTAACTATGCGAGAAAAGAATGAAAGTTGAAAAAAATTCTATTTCATCTTGTGGAAAACAAATTGTATCAATTACTATGTAAGTTATTACTAATATTTTAAAATTAGAAGAGCCAGTGAATAATTATGACATTTTTTTGACAGGGATTCTAACCCCGATCCTCCACATATTTTTTTAAGATCAAACACAGAATAAGTGAATAAATAAGTAGGTTGAAAATATTACAAAAATTATATTTCCATTTATTCAGTTAGCACGTTGATCTAAGAACCTGTCCTAAGGAAAGCACACATGGGTTTTCTCATGGAAGACGACAAAGCCTTAGAAATAATATTTTTTTAAAAAAATTAATTATTAGTCACTGCGAAATTTAAAAATTTTATCTAGTTATAAGTATAATGCTAACTAGTAAAATATATTGTTTGATCATAACTATATTTCATATAACTTTTTTTGATGTTAAAAATAAGTAAGCTAACGCCTATCTATCCGGATGAATTTTATTGGAATATCCCAAGAATTTCCTGCACCAAAGAAAAATTACTAATTCCTATTAGAAACGTGAATAATTTTAATTACTATTCCTACTTAAATGCATCAAAAAAAAATTTTTTTTTAAAAATAATTATTTATTCTATAAGGGATTTAAGGAAGTTGATAAAGTCAGATATTTTTTTAACAAAATGATCAAATATACGTGGATCGCGGAAAAGAAACGATTCCGAGCTCTCCCGTAAGTTTTCTTTATATTTAATTAAATTTTTTAAGGTATAAAATCTCAAGTAGATATAAACCCAACCTGAACAGAATCGTTAAATCGGTAATTAATCCTTATTATTTCTTTTAATGGTGTTTAATAATGAGTTTTGTGTGATAAGTAACAATAGTTGTTTTTCAGATTGTATATTGCTATTTGAGACGGTACCAACTACTCGAGTTATTTTTTATAGAAGTGTTCTTAACGTTCGAATTTATTCCTTCATCGCATATATATAGTTTTGCAAGAGAGAATCTGAAAAATATTTAAATTTTATTGGCTCATAATAACTATTTTTTTTGGGAGGGATAGAAAATTTTTTTAAAAAAAAATATGCTTAGCTTTTCATTTCTAATAAGTTTGTATGCGAAAAGTATTGAACCGGTTTTTAATGGTTCAAACCAGAAATTAATACTTTTTAAAAGCCGAACCCGAGCCGCTATATTTATCTGAACCTAAAGATAAACAGAATCAATATTCGCTATTATTCGGACCCTTGAAATCTTAAGAAATTTTTTCTTAAAATTCTAGCTTTTTAAAATTAATACATTTCCTTAAAAGTAAATTATTGTTGGAAAAAAAATTAAGTTCGATCGAAAACACAATTAATTTAGAAGAATTAACTAGAATGGAGGAGATTGATACATCGGATGAAAATAGCAGGTTATATTAATCTATTAGTTTTATTTTCAACTTTTCCATAAAATTATCACGCATAACGGCTTGGTAATATTACTGTATGTCCTTTGACAATTTTTTATTATCCTTCTTAAATTTTTAATAATAATTTAAGGCAGCTGAGATTATGAAATGATATAGAGAGGCATAGTAACTCTAGCCGGGTTTCAGCTCAAGTTAAAAAAAATTAACTTTACCCTTGGTTTTAAAAAAGAAAATTTTTACGGTCATTTTTAAGATCACAGCTAGCACCGATTTTTAAAAATATTTTTTTCTTATTTTCCCGGCCATTCCCGAATTTTCAAAATTTGATCAAATGATTTTTAAGGGAATTGGAAATATGAGAAACGAATGAATGTATTATGAATCCATCATATGATTACTGAACTAAATATTTATTATGATTAAGTTAATGATTTGACCTAGCCCGGTTTAGTAATTATTTTCCTAATCAGGCTTAGATTTGACCTGCTCATGAGTGCAGATGGGTGGGAGGAGGGCAAGGAATACACATTCTTCTCTCCTTTCGGAAAGTTTTCTATTTAAATATCATTTTTAGCTAATAAAATTGTTTTTCCTACACCTCTTCTCCCCTCCGCCTCCCCCCCCCCCCCCCCCAAAAAAAATAAATAATAAAATAAATAAAATAACAATATATTATTATAAACCATAATTTGAAAGATAATCTTTTAAAATTATGACTTATAATTAGACCTGTGCGCCGATGTCTCATTCGAGGGCGGCGTTATATTTTAATGTTTTCGTCGGCGTTCTGCAGCGCGTAGATTTCGCTACTGCCTACTAAATTTTTTTAATGAATTTAATTTATAAATCAATTTATTTTTTAATGAATTTAATTTATAAATCAATTTATTTTTTAATGAATTTAATTTATAAATCAATTTATTTTTTAATGAATTTAATTAATAAATCAAAGCATTATATTTTTTTTATAATTTATTTGGTCGCTCTTTTCTAACACATTGTTAACACTGTTTAATTCATTTCTTAAATTATTTCCTGTCTCACTCCAATTAAATTTAAGTATTTTCTCATTCTCAGAAATAGACTAAAGAATTGCATTTTTACTCATATCAGAGTCACATAAACAACGCATATTATTAATATTCTATTGATTTTTATTATAACAAATTAAAATATAAATTTGGAATGCAAACAAAATATAAAGTATGAAATATAATAAATCAGAATTCAGATTTAGCAAACATGAATAAATAGTATTTTTTCAAGATTCGTGGGACATAAAGAAGTTCTTTTTGCATTGAATATTACCCAGAAATGGAAAAAATCTTTCGCTAGGTGTACTGGTTTCAGGTATACAAAGAACCTTCTTAGCTTAACTAGCAAGCCTAGGAAGTTCCTATCGCTTTTTCTTCCAAATAATTGTTGCATCCTCTTCTGGGATATTTTGGCTGAGCAAAATATGACATTCTTGTTTAGATTATTAATATTGTTATAATCATTGCTTGGAAGGGAAAACTATATAAGAACTGGATGTTTGCCCATTATCTTCAACTTGAATCTCAATCTGTGCATTTCTATCATGCCCTAAATGTCTAATTAAAAATTGGAATGATGTCGTATTCGAATTTAAATATTCTGAAACAATTTTAAAAATTTGAAATCTGGGATCAAGTAGAGTAGCTAATATCTAATATTTAAAATATAATTATATTAATAAAAATATAAAATAGCTTGAAGTTCAATAATGGGAAACCTATGGTCATGCTCTTTTTTCATATTTTCTTTTAAGCATATAATATCTTAGCAATCAGATCTATTGATTTGTATATGAGCTTCTATTTTACTGCGAAATAATAACCCTAAGTTTATTGTCGATCCTTTTTGGGAGGAAATTTCACCGACTCTCGCAATGGATTTAATACTGCGTAAAGCTCATCAATCATATTCCATTCATTATTAAAGAGTTATAAATATTGTTTTCTTATTTTATTTAGAACATTGAATTTTGTTTACACTGCGAACATTTTCTAGCCAAATTAATATGTTGTGCCATCGGGTAGGGCAATTTATTTTTAAAGTTTTTGTATTTAGATTGGTGCAATGCCATTTCTATTAACCGATTTATCAGACATATCAAAATAGTCATCAAGGTATGGATCATAATCATCAATATCCAAGATATGACCTGACTCATAAATTGACTGCAGACATTTACGATGCTCATCCTCAATTTCACATTCCAAATCAGCTACTCGATATCTGAGGGCTGAAATAATCTCTCTAATTTTTTTAATGAGAATATCAATTCTGGCAACTTTTTTTATGTCGTAAATTGTAACCAAATTATGAAGTCCATGCCTTAAGCATAAATGATGTTCATAATCCCCCAATCTGACTCTTTTTTTTGACATTGGCCCCAGCATCAGTTACCATTCATATTATTTCGACTTTTAAATGGAACTCCTCTTAAATATTATCAATCTCTGATAATATGGTTTCCCCAGTATGCTTTTGATGTTACCAGGGTAAAATATTTTAATTCAAAATTTTCATCTAAATGATGAAGACAATGTGATATAATTTCGACGCTTGAAATGATCGGTCCATAAATCAAGTGATAGAACAGAATTTTGGTCCAGAATCAATAAAATTTAAAACATGTGCCTTTATAGATAAATAAACATCATCTCGCACACCCCAACTAATGATGATGAGTAATCAATTATCTTATATTACTATTTTTAGGCAATTTATTTTTTAATAATCATTTTATTTAAATTTTAAACCTTTAGAAAATCTGTCACCCCTTTATTGTTTATAGAATCAAATGGCATTAAATCTAAGCAGAACATCATAACATAATCTCGCCACATTAGACTTCATATTTATTTTATACATTAAAAAGATATTTAAAAAACATCAAAATAATTAGAGCTGGAATGAAACAAATAAGAAAATTGATTTAGTTTTGAATTTTCAAAATAAAGTTTTACATAATTAATTTAATAAATTATATATAAAGTTTATGCATTGAAAAGATCTCAAAATAGAGCTCACATCTTGATGTTGGCTTTAAAAAACATTTTTAGACTTTGAATGGATTTATTATTATTAATTTTTCCTAATATTTAAGAGCCGAGAAAGGTTATTTGTACTTATATTTTTATTAAAGCATTTTTTTTCATAACTAAAATATAAATTATATATAAATATATATATGTCTAAAATTAAAATAAATTATACTATGAAAATGGATTATGTTTCCGAATCTTCCACATCTTTTTTACCCAATTAAGCATGGTATATAATAGAATAGTGTATATCATTTCCATTCATTCATACATCATATTTCATTTCCACAAACAATACATATTAATTATTTATATGGACTTTCACGTTTTAAACCACCCTATATACAATTATGAAATAACAACTCTCTCTACTAATCATAAATCAAGTTATGTCAGAAGGTACTTTGGAAATTTTGTTTTGTAGTATGAAAATAAGAAAAGCACAATAATGCTGATTAATTGTGAATAATATTATATATAATTTTTTATATGTTAATTTTATTAATGTTAATATTCAAATTTAAATAATAATAATTTAATATATAAATATAATTAAACAGCATTCTAAAAATTATACACACAGCGCCGCCGGCAAATAAAAGGGCGAGCCGGCTCTCGCCAATAATCTCTGGTGGCTGTTCCGGCGTGAATAAAATTGCCGGCGGCGCACAGGTCTAATTATAATTCAAAATTTTTATAAGAAAATCATTTTTATAACAAAAAATTGAAAAATCAAAACTATTATTTAAAAACATAGCCAAAGGCCTGCAATAGGTCATCTTAAATATCTCCAATAAGATATATTGGGGAAAATCTTACTTAATAGTGCCCCCCCCCCCTCCCAGAAAATTTTTGATTGCGCATATCAGCCATCAGGTTTCTGAACAAATAGTCTAAAACCTAAATTTATTTTGTAAAATTATAGAAAGATATTATTCGGTCCAAACATCATTATAACTTACCATCAGTCCCTCTTAATGTTATTCTTGCGTCAGGTATAATAATAATGAAATTTGTTTGAATATTTTTTAATATATAAACTTAATATAGTTGATCACACCTTTTCCTATCTACCAATTATTTTGTAATGTCATGTATATTTGGCATGAATATTATTTTTTTCTGGCTCTGATTGATGTAATGACATTGATTAGTTTATTTTATAATGCTTGGAAGGAAAACCAAGTAAATGTTTTTTTAATTAATTTATCGTAGTTTTTCTTCTTTTTACGAAAGTTAAGCTGCATTTTTTAGATTGGAGAAATAGTAGGGGGGGGTTGAATATGTTATTGTCATTTAAATAAAATTGAAGGGAATAAGTTTTGATTGGGTTTCCTTTATTTTTTCTAATTTTGATTGTTTCTTTTTTTTGTTAATTTTGATTTAGTATAGGAAGAAGGTCGAATTTAGAAGAGGAGGGAATTTTTGACGGGATTAAGGGGTAAAATTGTAATATTGTCATTGGATTAGGAGATTGTAGAAGTTACTGATTATGGGGAATATAAGCGAGATTCTAATTTTATATGGTTTTTTAGTCGTATATTACTCCTTTTCAAACAAATAATATCATTTTTCAAAAATATGAAATTATTTTTCAATGCTAATTGGATGAGAGGAGGATACTATGTTTTTGAAAAAAAAATCACTTTGAGTTTGAAATAAGACTGCTATTATAATATTTTGATCAAGTAGAATAATGTTATTAATCATTTTATAAAGGTACAAAAACAAATTAAAGATAATATAAAGCCGCCAATCATCGTCAATGTTCGAAGAAAAGTTAAAGGTAATGTTTAATCATAACATTTTATTTAATAATCAAAATCATCAATATTTAAAGATCTGAAATATAATAAATATTTCATTTTTTATTTTTCATAGAGAAAGAGAGAAATGTTTTTATATTATATTGTAATTTGGTAATAGAGTATGGAAAAAGATAAGCACAACACAGTGATATGAAACTATAATTTAAAAACTATTAAATATTTATTTAGTAATCTCTCAAACTCGACACACATATTATTTTTAATAATTTTATCGAGTACATATTTATAAACAAAAAATTTCAGTAATAAAAATAAGTCCTGTAACTAGTAATTTTATTTTTAATATATGTCGGTTTTAGTTTTATTTATTTTTTTTCTGGATAATTGGGTTTGTTATCTGAAAATTAAGAAATAATAATGAGTGCTCAACACTTTTTTTGATTTTAGTGTTTATTTTATTTTTTTTCTGAGCATTAGAGTTTTAATTCTTACTAAGCAAAAAACAACTTTTGAACTAAAACATCCCTATTTTGGTTTGTCAGTATTTAGTGGTTGATTGTTTAGTAATTAGTCAACCCACGAAGGCTTTAGCGCTTAAATTGGAGCCATAAATTAAGTAATTTACCCATCAAAATATCATAGTCTTATAAATTTCTGATCAATTTTATTATATTTAAAAAAAACACTTCAAAATGAAGGGGATCCTTTACCAAGAAATATTTTTATATCTTCAGACCGTTTAGTTCCTGGGGATTTGCTGAATATTCCGAAAGGAGGTTACGAATTTATGCCTTGTGATGCGTTGCTTTTATCCGGTCAATGCGTTGTAAGTGAAGCGATGCTAACGGGTAAATATTTTATTTGGTTTTTATATTTATTTTTCTAAATCAGGTGAAAGTATGCCAAATTATAAAATACCCGTTAAATTGTTAAATGCGAATGAGATGTTTAACCCAAGAAAAGATACTAAGCATCTTTTATTAGGTGGCTGCAAAATACTCCAAACAGAATTAGAATCTGACAGGCACTACATTGAATGCGTGGTCATGAGAACAGGTTTCGCCGTATGACTGTAATTTATGGGAAATTTAAAAAAAATCTAGGTTTTAACACCCTCAACGGTGACAGGATCAGATATATCATATACCCCAAGCCGACTGTTTTTAAATTTACTAGAGACATTAAAATATATATTATTTGCTTGGCTACACTAGCGGGTATTGGTGCCATTTTTAAAACTACAGTAAACGTAAGTGTTTATGTTATTTATGAAAAATAAATTAAATGGTATATTAAGTTAATAAAGTCTATTGATAAGATGTCCGTATTTATAATAATATGGGAAAGCTTGGATTTAGTGACGACAGCAGTGTCACCCGCCCTTCCAGCCTGTTTAGCCATAGGCATCGTGATAGCGTACAATAGACTGAAAAAGGAGAGTATTTTGGTTTTAAATACCAACGCGATTGCTGTATCAGGAGCCATCAATGCAATAATTTTTGACAAAGTTATATAAAAAAAATATTTTATCGCGTTCCATTAATAATTAAATACGAATTACTTATTTTTTTCAACAGACCGGTACTTTAACAGAAAATGAAATAGAGATATTAGGGATTGTCGATATAAACAATTCGACTATGAAGTATAATAAAAAATAAAATTCGTTTTTACCACACCGTAATCCTCAATTTGTAGATTTAATGATAGGGTAACATTCCCGGATAAATTGGAATTCGGTTCATTTTTAAAGGCTTTAGTTACTTGTCACACTTTGAGTGTAATAGATAATAATTTAATCGGCGATCCTTTGGATATGAAAATGTTTGAAAGCACGAAATGGGTAAAAAAAAAATACAGTAAAACCTGCCTAATTTGGGCTCTTAATAATTAGGTTACCTCCATAATTTGACCAAATTGAAGTCTCATTCAAATCCCTATTAACTACTATGTACATTAAAATATTAGAAAATGCCTTGATAATTAGACAAGTTTTACTGTATATAAATTAGAGGTCTGCGAAAAAAGATATTTGGGCCGGAAAAAAATTATTGGACCAGATTGTTGATGTTGATATTTGATAGAAATAATAATTCATAAAATGCACTGTTTTAATTAAATACTTCCAATTTTATAAATGGGTGCTTATTTTGGTGTTCAATTACATATATTTCGGGATAGGTCTTCCATTTAAAAAGGGCAGGCAGGTAGTAAAATAATGAAAATAGACCGGGTCGGGCAAACTAACCGGGCAGGGTCGGCCCGGAAAATTTTTCCACTTGCAGACCATTATAAACAAAATTATTTATTTTTTAAAATTTTTTTTAATTATTTAGAGAATAAAAGATTGCAAACTTTTAAAATCAGATATTAGAATCATATTGAAACCGGCTAAAGAAGATTGCGTTTAAAATAATTATATTTTTAAAACTAAACTAACTTGATTTTTTAAAAAAAAATAGAGTAAACCGAGTATTGGAATTGTTCAACGTTTTCCATTTGAGTCTGAATTACAAAGAATGAGTATCATTTGCAATGTTTATGGCACAGATTATTTTGAAGTTTATTGTAAAGGATCTCCTGAAAAATTACACGATATGTGCGTTCCATATTCGAGTAAAAAATTTTCCTAGTTAAATTTGAGAAACTTTATATCATTATGGGTATAGGTTAATGTCCTGGAATTATAGAACCCGTTTTGGTAAGTCCTCTTGCATCCATTACGCAGAATTTGAAATATTAACTAAAGCTTAACTCTTGAAACTACGAAAAATTTCGTAACCAGGAGAACACCTCTCTCTTAGAATTTCAAGAAACCATAACTGGAATCTATTAAATTTTTTAAGAACTTGGACCAAAGCTCTCTTTTAAAATATATACAAACTGGAAAAGCTCTTTTAATTTGATTAAATTTATATCCTGATTTTTTTTTGTCAATACATAATTTCTGGCTAATTTTGTTAATTGATGTTATTAAAAGAGTTTGAAAAAAATCTTAGAGATTTTTGAGCATATTTTACCTAAAAATGCCAAAATCTTTTTAAAAATTTTTTATAATTAAATCTTTTGTAATTTTTATGCTTAAAATATCTTTTAAAATGAAATAAAAGAATTTAAATAAAAAAATTTAAATAAAAAAATTATTTCTTGAAGATTTTTATCAAACTCTGATTTTATCGAACGTAATAATACTATTATACCAATTTAATATAAATGTTTATGTTGGCTATTTAATATCATGATTTATTAATTTTACAGTTCCAGAAAACTATCATAAAGAGTACGAATTACATGCGACTCAGGGATTTAGGATACTAGCTTTTGCATTTAAATATTTAGATGACTATAGATTGGCTGACTTGCAAAGTGTAAAAAAGTTAACCAGGTATATTTAGATTTTTTAATTTATAAATACAAATAAATATCCAATAATGAACGGACAAAATGTCTCTGACGAAATGCCCAGAACTAAATATCCCGATATAACAAAAGTTTCGTTTCCCAAAAATAGTTTTAAAAATGGAGTTGTAAAATCCCATAAACAGAGATTCCAGGAAATCGAAAATTGTTTATATCTTTATTAGAAAAAAAAACAGTTGCACGAAAATATTTTTAATCACCCTTTATCTAGCCTCCGAGAAATTTGACTAAAATGACGCTCATTAAAATATATGTTCAATTCAGCACCCCCCCTCCCCCTGTATAAAAATTATTGGTTCTGTCTTGTAAGTTAGACGTACATTTTTGCTTGCAATCATGATAATTAATGCATTTTATTTGTCCCAATAATTTTTCACAAATATTAATTATTTTATAAAAAAGGGAATTAATTGAGTGCAATCTCTGGTTTCTTGGGTTTTTAATTATGGAAAACCCTTTAAAAAGAGAAACAATTCCAATTATACAAGATTTATCTAAAATCAAAATGAGAATGGCAATCGCTACAGGTTAAATTTAAATTTACACTTAATTAAATATTTAAAAAAATATATATATATTTGTTATAGGGGATGGAATGCATACGACTATATCAATAGCTAAACAGTGCGGTTTAATTAAAAGAAATGAAAAAATTATCATTATTGAGGCAGAGGGTGGACCGGGAAAATCTCAAGAAATAAAATATACTCGAGATATTAGTCAGGAAAGCGAAATAGTCGAAAGGATAGAATATTCGGTTTTCGCGTTAATTAATCTATATAATATTTATTCAAATTTAATTTAGAGAGGAGGTACGGTTGATTATTTTGATAGCGAATATCCTGAAGAATACGCCTATACATTAGCAATTTCGGGTGAATCATTTGAAATGGTGAGGAAATATTTTCCTGATGTTATACCTAAAGTATTATATATATTTTTTTATAACAAATTTGAGCATTATTAATTATGTTAATTAGTTGATGGTGAAAGGTGGTATATTTTCCAGGATGCTTCCTGAGCAAAAGGCTCAATTAATAGAGGGCATGAAAGAAATGCAATACTATGTGGCTATGTGCGGGGACGGATCAAATGATTGTAGAGTGAGTTGTTAGTTGTAATTTAATTCTATCATTTTTTTATAGGCACTCAAAGAAGCACATGCGGGTATATCATTATCAGCGGAAGAAACCTCTATATCAGCTAATTTTATTTCTAATAAACAGAATATTAAAGCAGTTAAAGTTATATTAAGGTATATAGAATTTAATGCAAAATAATTATTAACTTTAAAAATAATATTTTACATAAAGAGAAGGCCGTGCGGCTTTGTCAACTTCATTCGGCGTATTTCAATATGTGGCAGTTTACAGCTTTGTACAACTCGTATCTGTTGTACTATTAAGCTGGGTAATTTATAATATAAATAGCATTTTTTTTATATTATATATATATATATATACAGATTAGATCAGACTTTAGTGATACACAATATTTATTTATGGATTTGCTTCAGCTAATCATATTAATAGATCTTTGTATATTAAATTTATATTGAATTTTTAAGTATATTTTTTTTTAGCGTCAATAAGTCCTACTCAAATAGAATTATCTCCTTTATATCCAGAAGTAAGCTTATTTGGTTTTATACCCTTTCTCTCATTATTAATATATGTCTTACTAAATTCGTCAATTCAAGTTGCAGTAGTAGAGATAACAACTTTACAAGAATGGTATTGTTTTAAATTATTTATTTTATGTTTTGAAATTTAAAAAAAATCCTAAATATTATAGATTTTTTTAAGTGCATAATTATATTATTATACACTTATTATTTGTCTCTTATTAACTGATTTAGGATAATAAAATTGGGAAATTAGGACAGACCGAGGATCATGCGAGACATAAATGGCAAACTGCAATAAAATCAAAATTACTTGATATAATTCTTAATAAATAATCTCATTTTGTTATTCTTACTAATAATTTTTATATCATATTAAAAACTTTACATGATAATGCCTCTGCGTGGAGCCTAAAATATTTGCAATTTTTGCATATATAATATTTAAAAAAAATTAAATAATAATTTCTGGTCATATTATGTATAATTAAAATTGCTCCGTAAACTAGACCCAACACTCATTATCTCTAAAATATAATTTTATGGTTGTTTACACTTTTTGTTCAATGTGTAATTTTTTTATAAAATAGTTTATTAATCTTTTATATAATATATTTAGTAGATAATTAAATCCCTATATTATTTTATATTTAAAAAAAGGAAGCAGCATTTGAAAAAAGTTACTTTTAAAAGGATAAAATTCATATGTGGTTAAGAAATTTTATGTGATCCAATAAATAAAAACCTTCATAGCCGCATATACAAAATATACCCCGTCCGTTAACCTTCCCGAAAAACTTCTGAAAAATATTTTGGACTGGCCGGACAAAATATATTTTGTATACATATTTGACGAATTCTGATATTTCATAATAATCTATAAAGTATAGTGCTTCTAACTTAACCACTCCTCACTATTATAAATAGTTGTTTATTTTTGTTTAGAGGTTATATTTAAAAAAGTGAAGGCATAGTAATAAATTAAACCTGGGCTCAGCTAGGCGAAAATTAGTTAGACGGGACCGGGCATTGATTGAATTCCCATTGAGCCAGTCCGGGCCCGAAAATTTTATTATTTGTTTAATTTGGGAACCTAAAGATCTGTCAAGGCATTTTATAATACAGAGTAGTTTTTAATTGGGACTCAAAATTTTGGTCAAACAAGGGAGTTGCCTGAACTATCAAGATCTTAAATTAGAAGTTTACTGTATATAGTAAAATAAATATCCGTTCTTAAATATTAAATGATAATTAGAATCTCTCTAGTGAATAGGACTAAACAATTAGTAATTTGTTATTACATATAACTTTCTAAACATGTGTTTAATATATATATTTTTCAAGTTAAAATTTCCGGGAAAATTAATTATAAATTTCAGGGCGGGTTTAAAAAATATTAATGTTGAGTTTATCTCCGAAAAAAAATTTTCATTTGCAGGGTTCTTCCCAGAGTAGGCAATTTCTATTTAACTATTGTTTTGCACGCTATTTGATCTAGGTGGTTCAGTCACGAATCAACATATAGGAAAGATTTTACCTCTTACGAACAAACTGCCGTATTCACTATGATAACTTATCAATTCCTCTTTTTGATTATAACGTATTTCGAAGGCAAACCTCATCGTCAACCCATATATAAAAATTGTAAATTTAATCCTATATATATATTTTATTAAACTATAAATATTTTATATCAAAAACAGGCGCCTTGATTATATATATTTTGGTGTTAACTGCATTTCTTATTTTTCTCACCCTAGCAAATGAAACCGTTATACATATATGGTTATATGTAATTTTAAATATATAAAATATACATTTTTTCAAATCGTGTTAGTACCGTGCGTTTCCTTCAAAAGTGTATCGATTACGAGTTTTTGGTGCCGCACTATTTAATGGATTTTTAATGATTATTACAAAAGTAATGATTATATATTTTAATTCTTATTTATTTCGAAATAAAGTTTCACCGTAATTGGGAATTCTATGATATTTTAAACAAACAAAAAAAAATTATTCGACTAATCCAAAGTAATAACAAGGAATCTGCAACTCAAGGAAATTTTTTAATTGGGTGAAATATATTTAAAGTTATGCTAAGTGCGTAGGATTAAATTAAAGGTTAGAGAGATATGGATTGGGTTAATTAAAGATTTGAGATATGGGTTATGGTTAAGATATATTAAATATGGGGTTTAATAAAATTTAATCATTTTTATTAAAAATTTAAATCTGACAGGCCATGTAATTAAAATATATTTTTCTTGACTTGAACCACAATAAAAAAAAAATAGGCAAAAACTTTATATAATTTGTATCTATTTAATCGGGGCTAAACTGCAGGAGTTTTGGGGTCAAGCTTCTTTAATAGACCCACCCCCCTTCACCATTTTTTTGTATCATATGTATAATTCATAGGGGTATCCAGGATTTCCTTTAGGGGCACTCTGTAATCCAAGGTTTTCCGCCATAAATTTTATTGAAGTTAGGTTCACTTATATTAGGCATTTGGTTATTTTATATTTTTATAAAATAATACAAGTATCTAGTGTTTTTAAAGCTTCTATCACGAATTTCCTTTATGAATAAAAATATATTTTAAAGAGGGGGGAGGGATAAAGGTAGACTATATTATAAAATTGATTTCTGGCTTCTAGCAGAGATTCTAGCATAAGACCTTGTATTTACTCGACTTATTACTAAATGTTTAGCCGTTTATACAGATTCCTTCAAACAGAATTTATTTGGATTTAATCTACACTTTAAACAAAATGGAATGTCCTAGTTTAAAATCTAAATAGAAAAAATAAGATGAAGCAGGCCTTTTTTTGAAAAATAACATATAATTAATCTAGCAAAAATCCTATTTTAAAGATTAAAATACAGGTCAGAATTTTTAAGCAAAATCATCTATTAATAAAACTCATTATTTATAAGATATGATGATAAATTTATAATCATACAATTATAAGATATTATATCATCATATCTTCAAAATAGGAATGGAAGGGGAGAGGGGCAAGAACATCTCACCCCTCCCCACAAATTTAACCGTTTTGGAAATATATAAATTGATCTTTGCACATCTAGCATCAGGTGTTTATTAAAAATTTAATTTTTTTTTTAACATTTTTAAACCCGAACCAAACACTTTCTAAAACTTATTTTGAACCGATCAAAGAGGGTTCTTAATTTTGTCCTAAACCCAAGCTGAGCTAAACCTCTTATTTTTTAGCGGTTTCTAACATTATACTTTGATTATTTAAAGCTAAAAAAATAATTCGATTAATTTTCATTTTTAATAAAAAAACTGTTATATTGAATATGAATAATAATTTTTTTTTCTTAAAAAATAAATGTTATAAATCAAAATGCAGAAAATAGTTATTGAATATTTTTTGCAAAACTTCAAAAACAATTGCATCAACAAAGTTTATTTGAGATATGAAAAAATGGAAGAAGAATTAAAAAAATTGGTTAAATGGCCCCCAATAACTCTAGACGCAAAATCCATTCTTGCCACTACACGAGGAGAGTAAATAAAGAAGCATATTATTTTTTAATAATGAATTTATATTTGTTCAAGTACTCGACTGGCCTAATCAGAGCCCTCTATACCGCCCCCACACAAGCTAATGATGCCGAGGTCCCCCATCACGAAATATAAAATGATTTAATAATAGAAAGAGAATAGATTATATCCCCTCCCCCCATGTTTAAGGGCTCTATGAAAAAGGATAAATATTAAATCAATACCTCTTCCAGGAAACTAAAAATTCCAGAATCAGCTGAACCTACGCTTTAATTCAAGTCGGTCCATGATATCCTTTTAGATTTTTTTCCAAATGAAATATTTTTTAAAATCAGTAATTTAAAAAAAATAATTATATAGGCTCAACTCCGGTGAATCTCCAAATATTCCGCAAGGGACTAATATTTTCACCTAATTGCTGCACTCTCAAAACATTGTTTTATAAATTTATATTTATATTGTTTTTTAAAAACGTGAACAATTATTTAGCGAACATTATATCAAAAATCATCCCTGAAATTGGTATTTATTTCTTTTATTTATTGTATCAATAATATTTTAAAAATAATATATTATTATATTTTTTATACGCCAATTTTATATTTATAAATTCAATGACAAAAAAAAATAAATATTATTCTGATAATCATTTAAAAATCAAGGATCCGAACTTTTGTAAATTTTAATACAGGTTTCGGCTCTAGAACCGGTTTAAAAACTAGTTTTATAGATTTATTTTAATTTATTTAAAATTAAAAATGACATTGAACACATTTAAAAAAATTTCTTATTGAAACAATTAAAATGCTTTTAAAGAATGAAAAAAATTATAAAATCTAAGGAAGATAAATATGCCTTTTACAGATATCTTAGATAAGATAATTCGGGAAGTATATAATGTTTTTGGAATTTTCAAAATTAAAATATATTATTCTTTTTATCCCAGCGAATCTTACAATGCTATTATAATCGAGGAAAAATTTTATTGATGCGGTTTTGGGGAAAGGATAATATATTTTTAAAATATAGCTTAGAGAGCTGACAAAGAAAGAATTGAAATATATATTGAGATGAGTTATGATGCGAAAGAAATTTATTGGCATGGATGCATAAGATAACTTTTTTTGATTCGAGATCACTAGAAAGAAATAATGTCTACAATATAAATTAGGTTTGGTTAACAAAGAAAAATGGTGTGCTGAAAAGTAGTATGCATATAAAAACATACATTTAAATTTGGATATCATGTCGAGAGAACGTTTTTATAAAGTAAGAGGCCAAGAGAGAGGTTTGACGTCCTTGATGAAAAAAGTTCAGGTATTTTTCTAGCTCTACCGACGTGATGGCTAAGGTTCAGTAAATAATAATGGTTAATACCGGTTGGGTTTATTCACTGTATTAAATTATTTGTGACAATTTTGCATGATTTGTCAAATCAATATTGTGCCTTTCCTAAACTTTGAATGCCAATAACTTCGAAGCTCTATTAGAGTTTACAACACATTTAACGATCATATGAAGTTTCATTCGTTTAAAGGTAGGTCTATTTGACATGGTATAACTCACAATAGAAAAATAAAATGGAAATGAAATCAATTGCTCTAATGATTCAACAAAATTAGTAAATAAAAATGATATATTTTCTTATTTTGAGAATTAATGCGAAAATTATTATAAAAAGGATATATTATGCTGGCGATATAAATTATTGCAACAATCAATATACACTACGTATAATTTTATACCTACAAATATCACAATTACCTATTTATATAAACCTTTATATAAATCATTTTCTATAAATTTTTTAATATTCATGTAAAATGTAAATAAAAGTTATAATGAATGTCAGCGGCAATGTTTTATTTTTTCAACTTTGAATTATTTTTTAAAATTGAAGAATCTGATTTTACCAGAAATGTATTCCATCATGTTTGGAATACCTACCCTATGAATTTCAGATAATTCTGTCATAAACTTTTCAAATTATTTCAATTTATTTTTATTTTTTATATAAATTATAAATGACTCAAAGGTTAACGGCAAGATTGCCTACAATTTATATAGGTATTCTAAACATGCTGGAATATATTTTCAGAAAAATTAAATTTCTAAAAATAAAAAAAAAGCACTCATTTAAAGTTGAAAAAATAACATATTACCGCTAACAAATATAAATATAAGTTTTTATGATATCCTACAACTCCCATATTTCGCAAAAACTATCACGCATTCATAATTCTTTTGAAAATGTCTTTCATGCCTTGATAAATCTCCGATATTTCCGACGAAACATTTAAAGAATTTTCTTCCAAATCCGGAATATTACTTGAATCTGGAAAGACCCGAAAGAAAGTTTCATGCCCATGGGATACGTAAGCTGAAAAAAGGCTAGAAAAAACGCGCCTAAGCGTTAAAATGCGTTCGGCCGTGACGTTATCTCGGACAGAGAAAGTTAGGAGTGGATCCGATTCTAGGATTATGGATGGTGACATGTTTTCTTTCAACGACTATTATATTTAAAAAGATCATTGTATTAGTATGAATAGAAAAGAGGGGGGGGGGGGTTAACAATAAAAATTATTCGGATAAACATTTTCTCTACGAACGCTATGGTCTTTGGTCCTTTGTATATCGCAACTAGAGCCAGCATTCATAAGGACTAAGGCAGCGGGGTGAAAAGTCGAAACGTCTCGGCATAAAGATACATTTTGGCGATTGGGAAGTTTTAACTTTTTTTAAAAAAAATATAAATAATTTAATAAATAAAACGCAAAGATATATTATAGATAATCTGGGATAAAAAAATATTGCATAAAAAAGGAATCGCATCTATTTTAATATTTTAATATCTAAAAACTAAAGGGAAACATCGAAAATCGGGCTTTAATCTTAACTCCACCCTAGATCAATTTTATAGGGAAGCGATTTTTTTTATAAAACATTATATGTAGTTAGGAATTATTATATAAAATAAGGAGAATATTTTAATCCCTATCCAGTATTGCCCAAAAGTGTAGTTAGATATAACCATTTAAAATCAAGTAATATATTTTATCAAAAATTTTTCACAATATTCAAATAAGTTATCCAATCGGTGTCATAGTTTTTCTTGTCGGAACAAAGGGATTCCCCCGATGGTACGACAATATTTTCTTGGTCGTCAAATATATCACTGCCAATATTGCTGGGTACTTGATCGTCGTTCTCATTATTAGTGTTGGAAGGAATATATTTTTTGGCCATCAGACGGATAGAATCCTTGACTAGTTTACCCCTCCTCACATCCCCATAGACCACTTTTGCTACGTTTGGATAAAAGCTGGAAGCTAAAATACCCTGTAAAAATTGTTTTTGTAATGTTTTTCTTTCTTTCTTTATCTTCGTTATTTATTTATTTCTTTCTTTATGATAAGATGGAAAATGCTATTGGTAAGAATTTTTTTATTTTTTAAAATTAGCAAAAATATTATAAAAATTGAAATTGATTTTTATTTTTTAAAAAAGGGAGGCTCAATTTGATAATCAATTTAACAAAAAAATATTTTTCAGACAATTCGAAATCAACCAGAAAAGATGGTCAAACATTGTTATCTGGCATTTGTATCATGCATGGATACATAAATATATGTTAAAATTGTTTAAACAATATTAGATGTCAAAAAGATAATGATATTCTCCGACACATTTCAACTGACCAAAAAGAATGTGTATTCTAACGTTTCCATAGAAGAATTTCAATATTATATTATTTTGTAAAACCTTCAACATTTTGTAATCATCGGGCCGCAAGGTTGTTTGTTGTCGATACCCCTGCACGTGACGATGGTGAACTTCACCTCTCCTGAGGTCTCTGTAAATTTTTTCGTCGATAATCCCCGCCTTCTTAGCCTCTGATATGAGCTGATTTCTGATAGAATGAATGAATTTAACGTTTTTCGAATCTATGCCGTTTTCCTCTTCGAAAAGGATTCTGTAGGCCGAACCGGTCTCCAAGGCTTCTCTCCATTTTAGATAAATATTTAGCTAGAACAAAAAAAGGGAAGGGGATTATAAACAATCTTTATCTTAAGTTTTATATTAAACTCTAATTTGACGAATCGAATATCTAATTATTCGAATAAAATTGCATATATCGAATATTAATCGATAATACGAATCATAGTTTGAATGTAATATTCTGATAATTTTTTTTCAATACCAAAAAATAATTTTAAACATTTAGAAAAATAAATTACATAAGCATATTTTTTTATTTACACCATAATAAAACAAGACAAGTAAACTAGAAAAAACTTTACATAAAAATATTAATATTTAAATAAATAATCATAGAATATTCGAAAATAATAACGGCTCGATTTGAGCCGATTTTTAAAAAAAGGCTAACTCAATATTTTAGCCAAAAAAATATTGACTAGGTTTCGAGATTTGGCCAATAGATGTCCAATCCTTTGTACCATCTGTGAGCAAAATCTTTAGATTTGCGTATTATTTTCCTGAGCAAAATATTAAGTTCACCGTTTTTAAAAATATCGTCTCAAATTGAGTGACTTAACAAAATTAGTTAAAATCAGAGTTTAACAAAAATATTGGTCCAAAATCTTGAGCAAAAAAATTGGAAATGTTTTCTTGAGCATGTTCAAAAATGATTGAACAAAATAAAAAAATGTTTTATAAAAAAAATCTTCTATAATTCTGAGAAAATATTTTGGAAATTTTATAATATAGTACAATCTTTATTGATGATATTAAAACATTTTTGAGCAAATATTGTGTGATTTTTAAAAAAAAAATTTAAGTTGAAAATTTGAGAATTGTTATAATTTTAATATTTAATGTAAACTATAAGAGTGACAATTGTAATAATCATCTCAGGACCTTTAAAAATAATTTATGTTAAAATAGGCTAAATGAGCATGTTTCGAGATGGTTTCGGTGATTGTAAATATAAAGGTTACAATTGTCATAATACTCATCTAAAACCTTTAAAAATAATTTTGTTAACCTTTAAAAATAATTTTAGTTAAATAAGAATTTCAATGATAATATATTACATGTAAAGGAGACAATTGTCATAATAATGATTTAATATTTTTTCAAATTAAAAATAAGTAAAAATGATTATTTAATGTTTTGACATAGTTTTAAAGTAAACTAGAAAAGTGACAATTATCTAATACTTAACTCAGAAACTTTTAAAATGATCTTAGCATATATAATTTGAAATTTCTATATTACTCATTCATATTATTTTTAATTTAGGTTGATATGATCATACTTAATCTTCTGTATAATAGTATCTAATATGTAAAATATTTAGACGTAATCGGGAAGGAGTTCAACTTGAAAGATGCATCAATATAATATAAAGATGATATATTGGGGACAATAACATTTAAAAATATTTTTCCCTTAACCTTTTAAAACGATTTAGATCTTAGAAACTACTCCTAATTCTAATAAGATACAACCCCCCCCCCTCTCCCTCACCACTACCATCTCCGATTATACTATTAATTAATTTATAAATCTATTCATATTGTTATCCAAACAAGTCATTTTATATGAATTTTTATTTATTAAATTTTAAAGTAAACTATAATTATATAATAAAATAGATTATATAAATAATAATTTAAAACATCACATTATTTAACAATGTACGATTTAGTTTTATAATTGAAATATCATTTAGTGTATCCTTATCTAATAGTGTTTTTAGAAAAGTTAGTTAGTATTATGCACTAAATGCTCTCTCAACTGAGACCTGGGCACAAGGAGCCAGAATTACTGAAACAGTATAAATAATTCGATGTTTTCTTGAATCAAAATATCTTTGTTAGATGACATTCTTTTGTTGTATAATAGAGATTTTATTTAAGTTTTATATCTCTATTCTCCATTTCATAGTAGTAAACAGGCCCCTTTTTGCAATCCCGCTCGATGTAGAGGTCAAATTTTATTTTTTGCTAATCCTTTGTGGGAGGCAAAATTAAGGATGGAGTTTCTTTGTAAGGGTCAATGACTTGCAAATGTTTCCAAATTGTAAATATATGTTCCTAAACCAAAAAAGATGTATATTAGAAGGTTATTAATTTACCCTGATCAATATTTTATCATCTTCCGAAAGATATTTACCATTTTCATAATAGAATCTTGGATCTATATATATAACGTATCTAAAAGTATCATTTTGAAATATAAAACTTTCTCTTATGTTCAAACATTCTATCATAATTTTAGGCAACTCACTATCCATTTCTTCTAACTCTATTTTGCATTCTAACCAAGACGCAAAAAAATCACCAATTACTATATCTTTTTATTGTAATTTTGTAGTGAATATGTATAACGGCAAAAAACAGAAGTGCCCAGTCCGATTGTATCCCATAAATCCGAACTAATTAAAGTTTCAGGGTATAACTGACCCATTTTAACATAAAAATATTTATTATCTATAAAATTTTTAATCATAAGGTAAGTACTATTCTCACTGGTAATAGTATCTAGGGTGGGTTTAGAAATCTTATCCATTAAGAATAACTTTTTATACTTTTGTGATTTAAGTAATTTTATGATATAACGAACTTTGTCTAATTCAAATTTTAAATGATTTTTAATAAAGTTGTTTACAGCAAGTTGTAATCGTATAAGATGAAGATCTAACACAGTATACCAAAACTTTTACTAATGTCGTCTAATATATTTTCCGTATTATAATAGTAGTCAATACCCTCTGCTATTTCATTAGAGTAAACTGAGATGTTTTCATCATCAATACATAAATTTTCCTCACCATTTATACTTGTATCAAAAAATATTTGGCTCAAATTGTTTTCATTAGAAAATCAATATCATTATTTAATTATCTCTAGCCATAGGTCACCCATTTTAAGCATATTGGCGCCGTTATCTAAAGTGAAATAATATATTTGTTTCAAATCAAGCTGGTATTTTTTTAAAATAGTTTTGATTTCTTTTTTTAGGTTAACGCATGTATGAATTTTTATTAGTTCTATCATTCTTTGTATTCGCACTTTTTTCTGGTCATCTTTTATATATTGAACATTAATACCTAATATTGATCTATTATATCTAGTAGCTATATCAATTTTGAAAGAAATGCACTTGTTTTTTTAATAAATGTATAATTCGAAGTGAAATTTCAGATGCGGTATATTTTATTTTGCCGACCACTGATCAAGTATATGCTTTCATTTGTAGAGAATAACAAGATGTTCATTATAATTAGACAGTTCGTAATATCATAAAATTACTTAAATCCCAAAAGTATAAAAGTTATATTTAATGGATAAGATTTCTAAACCCACATTAGATAGTATTACTAGGTGGAATAGTACGTACCATATGATATGATAAAAAAACTTATAAATAATAAAGAATTTTATGTTAAGGTGAGTTATACCCAGAACTTTTATTAGTTCAGATTTGTGGGATATAATCCGATTAGGTACATCTGTCCTATTACCATTATACATATTCACTATGAAATTACAAAGAAAAATCTAGTAATTGGTGATTTTTTGCCTCTTGGCTAGAATGCAAAATGGAATTGGAAGAAATGGATAATAAGGTATCTAAAAATAGAATGTTTGAACATGAGAGAAAGTTTTCTCTTTCAAAATGACGTTTTCGAAGTGCTATATATGTGGATTCAAGATTCCATCATGAAAATGGGAAATATCCTTAGGAAGACGATAAAATTTTGACCAGGGTAAATTAATAAACGTATAATCCACATTTTTTTAAGCAACATATATTTGCAACCTGGAAACATTTGCGAATCGTTGACCCTTACAAAGAAACTCCATCATTAATTTTGCCTCCAGTAAAGGATTAATAAAAAACCAAACTTGACCTCTACATCGAGTGAGATTGCAAAAAGGGGCCTGTTCACTATGAAGTGGGGAATAGCGATATCAAGCTTAAAATAAAATCTCTATTTACTAACTGTAACTTCTCTAAGGACATGATACTAGATGATATTTCAACTATTAAGTTAAATCGAACATTGTTAAATAATGTGATGTTTTAAATTTTTATTTATATAATCTCTTTTATTATATAATTATAGTTTACATTGTAATTTTAATATAAAATGATTTGTTTGAATGCTAACAAAATGAATAGATTTATTTTTTATTAATTAATAGTATAATCGGAAGTGGTGGTGGGGGAAGGGTGTATCTTATTAGACTTAGCCAGAGTAGTTTATAAGATCTAAAATCGTTTTAAAAGGTTAAGGAAAATAATGTTTATAAAATATCATGTTTATATTATATTGATGCATATTTCTAGTTGAACTCCATCCCGATTACGTCTAAATAATTTACATATATTATACTATTGTGAACACAGAAGATTAAATGTCTCCCAACAACAAAATCATATTAACTTAAATAAAAAATAATGGGAATGAGTAATATGGCAATTTCAAATTACATATTAAAATAATTTTAAAAAGTTCTGAGTTGAGTATATGTCAAAACATTTATTTAAATTATGTCAAAAAATGTAAATAATCTATTTTGCCTATTATTAATTTAAAAAATATGTGAAATGAGTATTATGACAATTGCCACCTTTATTGCTTTACAATCACTGAAACCATCTCGAAATATGCTCATCTAGCCTATTTTAACTAAAATTATTTTTAAAGGATCTGAGATGATTATAATGACAATTGTCACTTTTATAGTTAACATTAAATATTAAAATAATGACAAAACATTTTTAAAATAATCATTACTTATTACAAATATTAAAAAATATGTAAATTATAACAATTCTCACATTTACAACTTAGAATTATAAAAAAACATTATTTTAAAGATCAAAAATAAAAAGATTTTACCTAAAAAAATTTATTTTTAAAAAAATCACAAAATATTTGCTCAAAATTTTTTTTATAAGTAAAGATTTAATCACGAAGGATTTTATTATATTATAAAATTCTCAAAATATTTGCTCAAAATCATAGACGATTTTTTTACAAAAAATACTTCTCAAAATAACTTTTTTGATCTTCATTTGAAAATTTTTGAATTTTGAGCAAATGTGAAACCCTGGTTAAATAACTATATTAACTTGAGTAGCATTTATATATCATTTATGTTGTTGAAGGTAGTACTTGAAACAAAATGGACATTTAAAAAATTATAGATATTTCTGAAATTTTTTCTCAACTTCAGGTCCAATATTTTGATCTTATAAAAAAGTATTAATTAACTCTCCTTTATACGTAGAACGTATATTAAATTTTACAATAAAAATATATTTAAAAATTATTAGTTTATCTTCAACTATAAGAATAAATGATTTAATTAACAGTATTCAATAGTATATATACATGCGCCAAATGATCGCTCCCATTAGTTAAGGCGTATTTTTCCTTGATCTTCTTCAGGGTGATCAGGTCTTTGTTTCCAAAATTACCGGTATCAATTCTATTATTGGAAGAAGAATTGGATGAAATAAGCAGGGATCGATTATGGGACATGGCGGCAGCCATCGATATAACTTGATCGGTATAACCTAAAAATGCGGCTTTGGCTAAGGCCAGAGAAAGTCTGGGGTGACAATTGATGCCTATCAAACGACGGCCAAGATTGGTTAAACTTTTAAATAGATTTGAATGGTTTTTTTTAATGTCTTTTTTAATTTAGATTTATAATTTGAATTATGCATGATATAAATTTTAGTAAGAAAAAATGGAGTTGTGATAAGTTTCGATATGAATCAAAAGATAGTTTTCAAAAGTTGGGGAAAATATCATTTCTTCACTTTTCATTTTGGTCCAAAAATCCTAGCTCCCTCGTCAACACATCTATAGCCATATGAATCCCAACAGAAGTGGGAGGTATGATGAGAGAAGATAGAAAATCTTCAACACTTTCTGCTGGTTTTTCGCTATTTTTGTAATGGTAATTGGAACAAAGCAATTTCGTTTCGAGCACTATCGTTTCTAAGGGAATTCTTTTTTTTGTAAAATGACATATTTAGTGTATGTAATAATATAAAGAAGTGCCCTTAACTTTGTTTGGTGTAAAAAAAAGTGGCCAGGGCAAGTTAAAATCTTCACCTAAGGATATTACAATTGACATATGTTCTTTATAAAATAAATTATAATATTAGGAAAATATAAATTAACATACCTTTTTCCGCAGAGACCTGCAGAGGTATTACTTGCAAAACCCCACCCGGACATCTCTAAGGCCACTCTAAAAACGAATTTCTTTTATATGATCCCTTCACAGAATATATTGATAGATATAGCAAAATGTTTTACATTTTGCTACTTTGAGAGATAATAATAAACCGAAACAAAAATGGTCCACTTTGATCAACTTTTAGCTTACATTAGTCATTATTCGCATCCGTTCGAGTTCGTAAATTTATAAAAAAATAGATCGAAATACCTCAAAATCTCTGGCTGCGGGTAAGACGAGAATCGCTCAAATGTTTCCAGAGGATATAAGTGAAAGCATTTACCGGCTGACGTACGACCAGCTCTTCCAGCCCTTTGTTTGATATTTGATTTTGAGGCCCAAACTAGGTCGAGGTATGATATACCCGTGTCGGTATTGTACCTTGCCATTAAAAAATAACAACATTTTTAAAACAATACATATAACTATTAATTAGAGCTTTTATTAGAGCCGATTCCTAAAAATTTTAAAAAGGTTATAATTCCTAATTCCAAAAGAAAGTTCCAGGTTATGGCGCGGTTCTAAATTTTGATACATGCTTGACTTTGCATTTACAGTTAGTGCGAGATAGAAAGAATATTGTATACTTCGCAACGAATTTGCGCTAACTGTGAATGTAGGGTGAGATAAAGAATTGGAATAGATACTAGGTGATGTCGTGAGAAAGAATAGACTAAGGTAGTTTGGACAGGTTGAATGGAAGGGAAAGAACAATTGGTTGAATAATGTCATTGGATGAAAGTGGGGGGGGGGGGCAAGGCCCAGAAAGCGACCAAAGACAAGCTAGATGAAGGTGCTAGACAATGACATGAAAACCCTAGGTTTGGCCCGTGCCCAGGACCGCGGAAAACGGAGAAGGGTGATTAGAAAAGAAAATGGCCTATACGGGTAAACCTGATAAAGAGTCACTAAACGAAGAAGTAAAAAATTAGGATTCTATCCAACAATCTCGATAAATTTACAGGCATTTGAAAAAATGTCAATCCATCTAATAAATTTTATAATATAGAAAAGGGGAAAAAAACTTGTGTTCTTTGGCCAATCCAGTATCCACTACATAAGCGACATCATTTATGGTCAGAGAGGTTTCGGTTATATTTGTCGACAGTATAACTTTTCTAAGTTTAGAGGAGTTGTTTCTGTTTTCATTGTTGATTTGGAGGAACACTCTAGATTGTTCTTCTTGGGGCAAACTGGAATGAACCGGTAATATAACCATGCGGGCTTGAAAAAAAGAGATTACAAAAATAACTATAAGAAAAAAGCAAAATAATAAGTGAAAAATTTTAAAAATATCATAGGAGAAATTCTTAAGTTCATTTCCAATTAATAAAGTTCAATTCAAAAAGAAGGTGTAGTGTTTTTGTGTTAATTTTGAAAATTCTTTAAAAATTAAGCATTAAATTGAAAAATCTAGCGACGGTACTGCTGAATATACGAATAAATGATATTAAAAAGATTCGCTCACATTAACAGTTAGGAAAATTAGACTTATAATTTAAACATATCAATTTTTTGAAAGTTAAAAAATGTCTATTACGCTCGTTCCTGGTTAAGTTTCCATCTAATTTTTCTAATTCCTCTTTGACCTTCCTGATTTCCTGCCAACCCGGCAAAAAAACGAGGATAGCGCCTTCTAGGGGTTGCGATTTGTGGATGTAATTGATAGTATCTACCGTTAATTTTATATCCAATTTAGGAGTTTGCATTTTATTTCTGAATGTCTCCGCCTCCGAAAATTCTCCTATCAATTCCGATTTTGAGATTGGATTTATATCTACCAGTAATGAATCGATTTGTTCCGATTCGAATTTTAGCGTGGTAGTAGTAAGATCATTGAATGGCAAAGGCTTTGAAGGCTTAATGGGACATGACATGGATATTAAAATTAATTTTAATTTTATATTAAAAGATTTAACTTTGACATCAAATTTTTGAAATAAATGAGAAGAGATTTAAAATTTATATTAGAAATCTGCATGGCCTTGCCCCTTGCATGCGCAAAATATTTATCTCAGGTCGGCCAACTTGCCCAAAATATTTTTTACAGGCCCACTGGAAATTTCAAAAATCTGTTTTAAAACTATGGAATAACGTAAATTTATAATTGTTCCTCTATAAACACAAAAAATTATTACAGACAGGAAAACTTAATTATTATTTTTACGAGTCTGGAAAGGTATTTTACGGATTTATATTAGTTTTTTACTATCGGGGCCAGACCGAAAAATTATTTTTAAATCTTAACTGGCCATTTCGGGCTAGGTCTTAATGAATATTACTTAAAATTTAAGACTTAATAAAAAGAAGAAAAAATGAGTGTTAAATCTTGGTGAAAATACACAATATAAATAAATTTTAGGCAAGGCTATTCTTATAAATTTTAGTTTACAAAATCCCTTTCAGTCATTTTTATAAAAGATTTCAAAAATCATGTAAATATAATATAGTTTTTATGGTCCGGTCTTTGCAAACTGCCCATAATTTTTAAGTATAAAATCTTTCTCAGTCTTAATGCAAAAGAATCGAATCAATTAAAATAAATAATAAATTAACTCTTTCTATTTTTGAATTTAAAATTAAATTTATAATTATAAAAATATTAAGGGGAAAAACTCGATTAATTTTTTCAAAATTAATTTATGTATTTACAAATTATATTAACATTTATTAAGATAATAAAAAAAAGATGCATTCATGCCTTCATAATATTTTGGTTCATGGCTCCTTTTTTATCGGTAATTAGTTCTTGAATCTCGGGTAAAAAATAGGATATCACTGGAAACATCCTACCCTGTACATTGATAATAGGACATGAATCTAGATATCTGTTTAATTTTTTGAAAAGGTTATATAAAGTATCGAATAAGTTTTTTTTATTGAATAATTTTATGATTCTTCAAAAAATCATATCCTTCGCCCGTGTCCTGGTTCGTCTATATTTTTAAAACTTAGCGAAATAAGATTTTGAGGACACTCTATTGTGAGTTTGTTTTAAGTCTGCCCCAAATGGGGTTATGGTGACAACGTCTACTGGCAGCTAATTGAGGCTTAAAAGGTTCCCTGTGGGCCGGGTTCAAAAACACCGTTTCCTCGACAAAGTGCAAAAGTTACCTAAAGAGTTTCATGTCAGGAAGGGCATCCATTTGTAAAAAAAATTTCGCCTCCAAAATCTCGAATGATTTGTTATTTATATATTTATTTCGGTAAGAATAAAATAAAGACGTGTATTCTTTTATGTAACTAGCTTCCTTTTTTAGGCTGCTTAGAGGAGCTATATATATAACTGGCTAAACAGCGATTGTTTAGAAATAACACGAACCAGAATCTAATCTTTTCAATTATTAAGGATTCTAGTAATAACATACAATCAATAGAGCTTCATTAAAAAATATCAGGATGGGTGCGTCCTGCCACAGTCAGGCGAGTCTCACCCTAAAAACATAGAAACTTAATCATTTTTTTATAATCCCCCCCCCTTTAATTGAATAACAACAGTAATTGTAAAATGAGATTCAACTACTAAAAAAAATATAAAGGCAAAAATAATTTGATAAAACCCGCCTTTAAGAAATTTAATTATTAAGACTGCTTGCTAAATTAAGATATCACGTATAAAAACCAATTAGAATTTATATTAGTAATAGATATAATTTAGGAGCTATACTTGGAAAATTTAATAGCGTCCATAGTGGCGCTCATAAGGACAATGGAAATAGACGGATTGTTTCTGCGAACCCTTTTGAGTACGGCTAGGAGAAAGTCGGTGAGAACATCGTGCTCGTGAATTTCGTCCACTATAACGTGACTTACGCCTATAAAAAAAATTCATTGCTATAAAAAAACAGAAATTGGAACTCAATGCCTAAATTAGTAACGGCCAGGGATTATATTTCGCCTAAGATTGGCATATATTAAAAAAAACGATCCAATTACATGAATAATATAATTTAATACCTAAAATTTAAGGTTTTATCGTAATTAGTTAAATAAGTCCTAGCCGTTATAAATTAATTAAATGGTTTACTTTCATTATATAAACCTAAATCTCGGAAAGAAATAAGTATAATAATTAATACTATCTCATCAACAGTTATAAACCAATTTTTTTGACTTTGTTAAGGTTCAAAGCAGCATATTCCTCATATTGGTTGCGTAATATCCTTTCAACTAATGCACAAAAAATTATTATTTTATACAATCCATTCAAATCTGGAAATTGATATGGATTTGTAATGAACTGACTTAGGTTAACGGTTATCTTAAACCTCTAATGTAGTATAATACATTTGGAAATGGTTGTCGTTTAAATAAATGTTTTTGAAAAATATTTTATTTAACAAATTACCCATCAAATTGGGGTTATTTTGCAACTTTCTCAACAATATCCCGGCAGTGCAAAAGAGAATGGGGCCTATTGCACCGTTGTTATCGGTTAAAAACCCGTTATATCTTGGTAGAGATTGGTAAAGCCTGACTTGAAATCCGATGTTTTGAAAACCGTAATCCCGTTCGATCTGGTCTTGATCAGATTGGAGACCCTCAAGATTTCTTGTAGACTGGGAAACAAAGATATGAAATAAGGGAGAGTGAATTATTTTATTAATGCTAATTAATAAAAATTCAAGTTTTTTTATTTCAGTAAACAATAAATAATTTGTTGTCAAGATCTTTATATTTTCACAGTGTACAAGACGTGAAAAAAAAATTCAAAACTTTAATAAGGTAATTATATATTTTTTTTCTATCGAAAAAATAAAACATTTTATAGGAGGAATGCTAAATTTTACTTGGTCAACACACTGAGATACTATTTCATATGGGAGGGGAGGGGCTGGAACTCCAGAATAATTTAGCCAGAAAAGTTCTTTGTGTACCTGCAACAAATATACCCAGCGAAAGAATCTTTTCTATAGCTAAATTAATCCTTAATGCCAAAAGAACTTCGTTATGTTCTTCAAATCTTGAGAATCGTATTTATTCAAATAATTATCATTTAGTTAAATTTGATACTTTTAATTTATTTATATTTATTACCTTTATAATTTGTTTGCATATGAAATTGATAATATTATAGATATAGATAACGTTTGTATATAAATTTGTTTTTAATTTTATACTAGAAAATCTATAAAATAATTATTGATGTGATTGTGAAGCAAAAGAGTATCTATTTTTGAATATTATCTATTTTCAGGATGACAATGGATAAATTTATATATGAATTGGACATTGAAAAGATTTAAATACTTTATCAAGAATATGAAACTATAGGAGTTTATAAAAAGTGGAGATTATATGGTAATTTCAATTATTAAAATGCGCAGCCAATTTATCAAACGGCGGCGTATATTTAATGAGCGCCACCGAAAATAATAACCGTTGCCGCGAATGTAAAAACAAAAAATTAAGTTTAAACATCTTGAAACAACAAAAAAATTACCTTTTTCCTAGAATTAACGCCGCCCATAGAAGTTTCACCCATCTCATGGGCCACCCTATCCGCCAGGGCTATACAACTCATACGCCTGGGTTGAGTGACTATAATACTGCAATCGGAAATTTTCCCGATTTCCATCATGCGCTCACGTATGTATTGCGGAATCTGAGTGGACTTCCCTGATCCCGTATCACCCGTTACGATCAAAACTTTATCGCGTTCGAGAGTTTCAAGAATTTCAGAGCTTCATTTTTTTGGAGCATATTTGACGAAATTAAAATTTGTAATAAAAAAAGTGAACCAAGTGTTTCAATTGGACGATTAATCTGGAGAAATAATTATTGTTTTGTAAATATATAAAAAAAATTTTAATTGAATATTCTTTCTATTAAAGAGAGACCTGCAGAGGTACCATTTACAAATATCAACTTTCCGTTACACCGGCCTTGAAAAAGGCACGACTCGGATTTATTTTAAAAATTTTTCGGTCTGAGTGTGATTTTTTTTACGCCCTTGCTATTTTAAAAAAATAAAAATATACATTATTCAGCATTCATTTTACGGATCGTTTTTTAGCAAATATGAAATCCGTATAAGACCACTTCCAATCGCGACGTTTTTTCAAAGCGATAAATAACAAATTCAGCTTAATAATTGAGTTTATAAACAAAACTTAATAACTAGCATGAATTTTTAACGATTAAATAACGTTTGATACGATTGAAATGAACAAGTAATTATTTTTATATTAATATTCAATAAATGAAATGATTATAGAGGAAATTTTGTATCTGATTTGATAAATTTTGTAGAAGCTCATGACGATAGACTTTATATTGAATCACTTAATGTTGACTACTTTATAATAAGAATTTTTAAACAATGGACTTTTTAATTAAATACTATTTAATAGTAAGCATGTTGCAGGTGTTTTATTTGGTGATACATTAAAAACAAAGACTATTAAGTGCTATAATAAATAAGTTTGAAGTGTTTAAAAAACAGAAATACCTCATTTATGTATTAGGAAAAAAATAGTTTAAGTGAATATTTTTTCAAAATTTTTAGTATAAACCTTATTTTAATTTTTAAAAAAATAATAATAGAAGAAATTTTTGAAAAATAAAAATTTCAAGGCCAAATAATAGAGATCAAATCGTAAATAATGTTTCTTCGATATTAAATTGGTATACACCGTACGATTTTACAAACTTTTATAATCATATGCATGAGTTTTTTGAACTTGGTTATCGGGGACAACCAATCAATTAAAGGATATAAATTTTACGATATTTTAAATATATTTTTATCTTTTCTATTTATATAAAAATAAAGATGCCAATTTCGGAACACTCAAAACTAAACGCGAATACAATTTTATAATATAATATTTTCTCACAAATTTAAATCATTATGTAAATTATTATATTGTGCTTGAACTTGTAAATAGATTATTATAATATATACAAAATAAAATGAACTATATTTGAAGTAAAAAGATATTTGAAATTTATATTTTCTAAATTTTAAAAAAATTATTTATTGGGTTGTTAATTTTTATATTTCGTTCTTCCGATTGGCGCCTTTCTATAAAAAAAAGAATGGCATTTACATTTATTTTAAATGTTTTATTTTTCCAGAGTTGTTAAAGTAGCGAGCTATTTGTAGTGCTCTAACTTTTTTGGTAGCTATAGCTAATAGCGGCTACTTTTTTGCAATTATTTAATTTTTTAGCGCGCTACATTTTTTGAAATTTTAAAAAATATAATGAAGGTAAGTATAAACATGAAAATTTAAATATAATATCATAATTAATTATAAATTTTTAGGATTTATTATTTAATTTTGAAATTGAAATATATTTTCAATTTGTAATTTGTATTTTCATTTGTATTATAAACCTAAATCACGGGTTAATAATTTAAAATGTCATCGCCTATGGATATCCAAATCGTTGAAAGTGATTCAGACAATGATATTAATAAAATGGAAAATACCAGGGAAGAAAATGTTCTTAATAGAAATAATACAAATTTCCCATTCCCTAGATTTGATTAAAATAAATAAAAGACCAAAACTGGCTTCAAATTTATTTGTTTAAAATGTAAAAAAAAATATTTCCTCAAATCAATCCAGTTATAACCTCAAGAAACACCAAAAGGTAAATGTCATTATTACATTCTAATAGTGTTTATTTTATAAGACTGTTCATACCAATAGCTTTAAGGAAATGGGGAAACATTAAAATAATTTTGGTATAGGCGATTCTACATCTAAAAAGACTAATTCAAATCAAACCAAATTAATTAATAATCCGAATGCCAATATTTCTCAGAAATTGGCTGATAAAGTTATTGTTGATTTTATAATTGATACAGTTCAGCCAATGTCCTTGGTTGATAGTCCATCATTTACCATGATGATTAAAACTCTATCCTCTGGTACAAGAATTTTATGTCGCCAGTAATGAATAAAATAGCAGATAACTTTAAAGTGATGAAAGACACTCTAATAGTAGAGTTATCAGAGATATCATATATATGTACCACGGCAGATAGTTGGACACATAACACTAGGTTAAAACTTATAAAATGCAACAAATTACCATAAATATTTATTTTTATTACAGAAATTTTTTTAATATCAAAACTAACTGTATTTTAATATTTATAAATGTTGATTTTTATATATTTACTATACAATAACATTATAAGCAAAGAATAAAACTAATTTGTTTCTGAATTTTTTTTTATAAAAAGTAGCTTAAAAAGTAGCTAAAGCTACTTTTGAAAAATAATAGCTAATAGCGAGCTATTTTTTTGACAAATAGCGATAGCGGTAGCGCGCTACTTATAAAAGTAGCGATTAACAACTCTGTATTTTTCAAATTTCTTCCGATTATTAGATAAGGTTTATAAAAATTTTGAAAAAAATATTCACTTAAACTATTTTTTTCCTAAAACATAAATGAGGTATTTCTGTTTTTTAAACACTTCAAACTTATTTATTATACCACTTAATAGTTTTTGTTTTTAATGTATCACCAAATAAAACACCTGCAACCCTATAATATGGAATGAATTTTAATAATTTATAATATATAAAATAATTAATATTTCTTTTAATAAATCAAAACATAAATCTTTATTTAAAATTAATAAATTATTAATAATTTACCAGGCTTAATTCATCCTCAAATCAAATGCATGCAAATTAAAATGGAAGAATTTGAGGGATTCTTTTTTAAAGGAAAAGAGAAAGAGAGAAGAAATACATTCAGGGGATGCTGCTAAATCTAGCACTCCATGGAAATGGTACGAATCTCTATCATTTCTTACTACTTCCACTATTCCCTGAAAAAAGCTAAACAGTAACACATATAATAATGAGAATGTAAGACCAGGGTAAAAAAGGATCCTATGGGAAAATAATTAGATTTTCAAATTTATCATATCTCCCCATTTGTCGTAAAAGGAGTGAATATGAATCACCCGACTTTCAATTCAACTGGTCGAAATTCCCTTATTTCATGTTTCTTTTGTTATTTCATATAGTCTGTTATATAAGCACCATTCTTTTTCGTTCTCACTCTGACATTATATGTAATTGCTAAATTTTGTAAAAAGATATAAAATGATACTCATTAAAATAAATTTATCCCTTAATAAGTGCATTAATGAGTGTATTTTTGTTGCTTTTAATTTAATTGAATATCACCTAAGATGATTAGTTGAATAATTAATTTGAATAATATTTTACTAGAAATATTATCTAGGATCGAAAAATGCTAATATGATAAATGAATGAATGTGATATATTGTTCAAAGATACACAATTTTTAAATATATTTTATTTATAAAATATTCGGCCCGGTCCGGGTATTTAAAAAAAAAATTTTAGGCCTGGCCAGGGTATAAAAATTTCTGGCCTGCAGATTTCTGCTATAAATGTAAATTATTTTAAAATACACAACACATCTTGGAAGATCAAATTTATAACTGGATTTTTGAATAATGTCGACCAATAATTAATAATAAATATGTAAATAATTATTTATTTAAGGTTTGACCGATATTAATCGTTTTACAAAAAACGAATCGGGCCGAAATTCTCAAAAAACCGATCCAATATTAAGATTACATTGACTTTGTTTATGATATATGCATATTATATCGGAATATGGAATCCATCGAGATACAGAATCCCTCAATTTAAGCCATTTATTGAGAGGGATTTTTAAGTTTGAAATATCTAACTTCATAGAAATGTATTCTAGAATATGTATAGTACCTAATAGTGTTTTTAAAAAGCCTGATTTTTCTATGCGCAGTTAAGATTTTAGCCAAAATAATATTGTACTTAATAATTTGAACATAGATAGGGGAAAGGTTTGGACCTCTATTTACCCAATCTTGAGGCTTAGGAGATATTAGGTTAAAATCTTAATTGGGTCCTTTTTAAAAATCGATTTTTATCGAGTTTTTTAACAACACTAGTACCTACCCTATGAATTTCAGGCATAAGATTTTGTTACTTTAATTTATACAAAATATATATAAATTAAGAGTTTAAATCAAAATTGTCAGAAATTCACAGTTTGGGTATACTATTTAAAAAATAAGATACTTAAAAATGTGATTTAAAAAATTAAACATTGCCTAAATGAGATGATTTAATTTTTAGGTAGCGTAATCATCCGTGATAATTAACCAACTATCGCCTTGTTACTGTTGTCAAATGATTAACCCAATATTTTGGCCAAAAAGTATTACGCAAGCCTAGAGATTTTGCTCATAGGCCAGAAAGTTGGGCATCTTAAAACAAAATTTCGAGACTTGTCTAAAATTTTAATTTAAAATCAGCGAAATTGAGCTATTTAAAAAATGCTAGTCTTGGTCATGAGAAACGAGAAATTTAAAAATGTATCTTGTTTTGTCCCATTTTATATTTACATATATTTTTTTATATATAAAATATTAATTTTCTCCATGGCATTTGATTAAAAATAGCTGGTAAAAAAATAATTAAATAGAAAGAAAGAAAGAAAGAAAGAAAGTAAGAAAGAAAGGGATCGGCATAAATTTGCCTAATATAAATTAAAATGCTTAAATTGATATTCAATACCGTTTCGCGTATATGGGCAAATTTTTTCGCGCGTTGTTCATTTGTGGATTATTATTGAGATTCTGAGTTTTTCTCGAGGCGATAAATTCGCTCTGGGCTTTTTTGTTTAAGTAATCTTTTTGAGCTTCGTTAGGATGGTACAGTTTTCGACCCCAGATAATATCTTTGACATCAAAATTTTCGATTTGGCGGTTTATATTATCGTTTAAATTGCCAGGAGTAGGCGGAGATGAAAGCAAGGAATATGATAAGCTATCCTCCAAGCTGATTTCCTCTTCGCCCAAGATACTTTCAAAATTATTGGAGCTCTGAGGTGATTTTATAGCCAGCTCGTGGCTAGAAGCCATGAATAATTTAGACCTTTCCAATAAATACGGCTCTAGCTTCTCGAACTTGGCTATTAGTGCGTCTATGCGCCGTTCTAGTTCAGCATTTTCGATACAAATTTCTGAAGGCGGGTTCATCCTCTCCAATTCCCTCAAAATTCTCTGATCCACATTGTTTGCTTTCACCTTCGTGCTTTCGTCCAGGATATTCGTTACATCGTAGGAATCATCCAAGATTTTAAGTTCCTTGAGAGCCTTCATTGCTTGGGTGACATTGAATCGCTCGGCTAGAATCTTTCGCTTTGCAAAGGATTCGAAAATCATTTCTTTAGGCCATTTAATTATGAGAGTACTTTTCCAAGTTGGGCCCTTGTTATTGTTAAACTGAGAGGAACGAAGAATAGGCTTATGCCGAGGCCCTAGTCGTTTAGTAACTTTGTCGAATAAGTTTACAAATTTGCATTTAAGATGGCCTAATGAACAATTAGAAGGGTTATAATGCAAAAGGTCACAAAAATCAAATTATTATTTTCATAGCATTTTTACCTTCATAAAATATCACAAATATAAGTATTATTTCAAGCTTAAAATGTATCATCTGTAAAATAGCATTTCAAACTTTACAAGTATCATTTTATATGTAAAATACGCAAATTTTGAAATGTTCAAAATAAAAATTCTTTAAAGATTTTTATTTTTTTGAAAATGCTAACAGGATTTTTGATTATTTTTTAGGCAAAATTTACAAATCTGTTTTTTTTGTAAAAATCATATATATTATAAGTACCAATATTTTGTGATTTTCCTGCATAAAAAATCTTTCATGATGGATTATTTTTTCAAACTCTGAAAATTGTTTAAACTGTCTAGGTGTCAAATGCTTTAATGCAAAATTCTAAAATATATAGAGTCATAGAAAAACAAAATTAAAAAGAAGCTTATAATTCTTTCATCTAAATTAGGTGGCTCAAAGAACAAAAAAAAATATTTAACAAATCTGTATTTTTTATTTTTTTATCAATTTTTTTGTTTTTATTCATAAGATTTATAAAAAAAAATATATTGGCAGGCTTAAATTAAGGCCAAAGATCTAGATTTCTCGGTTACCAAACAGCAATTTGAGTTAATAGGTGATGATTTGATCTTCATAATCGCAGAGGTAAAAATGGAATATTTTAATGAAGATAATTTATAATCTAGTATGTGATCATATTATTTTATATATTTATAAATATCTTGTTTGCAAATAAATAAATATTTTCAATCTTAAATTTGGTTTATTTAGATTATGTCCAAGGGGTTACAAAATAAACAATATTTAACAAATTTTAAGGTGGGTCAAAATATTTTAAAAAAAATGTGTGTGGAGTCAGAAATTGAATATTCTTTTTAAATTGGTCTCAAAAATGGAATTTCTAAATTTTAAGCACACTAAAAGTAGAAATGGCATTTTTAGATTTAACAAATGTAAAGATTAGATATTACCTGAGGAGTTATTTAACTCAATATATATATTTTTTTAAATCCATTAGTGCATTTAAAATTATAATTTAATAAAATGAGTAATTCATAAATTGGACATTTATAACAATTTACTTATTGTACAGCACTAAAATATATATAATAATAGATATGCACCAATATAAATAAAAAAAACGAAGTGATGCTACAGTTTTTTTTAAACTTAAAAAAATATCAAGCTTAAATGACAATTTCAATATTTTGGGAAACAATTCTTAAAAAAATTTATAACACAAAATCAAAATGGGCAAATTATTATAGTAATTAGAAATTTAGAAAAAAAGATTTTTTTCTATAAAAAAAATTATTTCATCCCTATACCAATACTCAATATAATACCCTCCATTCCAAAAAAGTGTAGATTTATTGGGAAAAAGGAAGATATAGTTCATCAAAATGATAATTTTTTATTTTTTGTATAAATAAAAAGTTAAAAAGGGTATCAGATAAATGATATCAGTTTAAATTGGATATTAACTGATACCATGAGTATTAATGCTTCTTTGATTAATAATCCTTATTATAAAGGTATATTTAAATAAAATTTAAAAAAAAATAACATTCCTGTTTTGAAATCCACTTTGTGAATATAAGCAGCATAACGTAAAAAAAATTTTGAATTTATATATTTTTTTTATTAAACTAAGCACAAAAACCAATGATAAATACATAAACACTTTTTAATAAATTTAAGATTGACAATATACCATAAAGTATAACGTGATAATCGTTTTAACCTGATGGGTCAGCATTATTTACAATCAGTTCCTCCTTCAAAACAACTTTTTGACTAGCTAAGCTTGATAGATTGTTTAATAATTTATAATTTTGATAAAAACTTAATAAAGGATTTGGGTCTAGTTTATTTTTAAAAAACGGCATGGTTAGGCCAATATAACTACACTAGGTAAAAAAAAACGAATATATATTAACAAGGCATTTAAATACATGACGGCCGTCAACTGTCATTTGATTAGTATCTGAGTGAATGTCGTTATTTTTTTTATAACTAGCTTGATAAGATATGATGAACGATTTAGTCAAAACTATCCCTAATATTCCTTACCTAAAAACGAAAGCAGGTCCTAGAGATAAAGATTTATGGCCTCAACGATTAAAAGAAGAATATCAGGCTTTAATTGCAGTAATCTTTAACTATATATGTATAATAATTATATATTATTTTAGTACATGACAAAAAATAAAGAATGTGATTCTGATTGGTTTAGATTAGAATCAAATAAAGAGGGTATTCAATGGAAAGGTAAGTGTTGGCTATATCAAGACAGAATTAAATATGAATTTGATATGCAATTTGAAGTGATCATATTCATTTATTTTTAATACATCATTCTACTACAGATTCCTGCTTTATACCCAGTAGTAGCTCCTGAAATATCTTTACCCCAATTAGATGGTAAAACAGCCAAAATGTATAGGTAACCTATATTTCCATTAGTTTATTTTGTTTAATATAAATATATGTAAAATATAAATATATCAGATACATCTATACCACTTCTTTTTGCTGATTTTAGTTTGTTTCATGGTTTAATGAGACTATTTTTCAACTATTTGAATATTTTAGCCAGAAAGGTCTAAGTCTCAAGGTTTTACTAATAGATATCCAAACCCTTGTATCATCAATTACCAAAATCTCCAAGCTTGCATTATATTGTTCTGAATAAAATACTGAGTTAGCCATTTTTAAAAATAGACTCAAATTGAACTTTTTATACTAAAATAAAAATTAAGAATAGAAGAGATTTTTCTTTTCTTTACACAATAACAATTCCATTTTAGATTTAAATATGCAATTTTTATTTTAATAATGGTTGCAAATTTTTCAATATCAAAAAATATTTTTGTAATTATTCTTCCATTTTTTTTCTTCATATTTTTTGAAAATGTATTTTTTCAAAAATATTTTTATTCTTATAAAAATAGAGCTCACTATTTGTAATAGACCCAAATTTGTTTTGATAGGTCTTTGCTTATATTAAATATTGGATTGGACTGATATTTGCCATTTCAAAAAAATATCAGATTGGGTAAATATTTATAGAAAGTCAATCCATCCTGACATTTTTATTATTTTATGATAGTGTATTTAATTATATAATATATTTTTATTTTATAATAATGAATTAATAAAAGGAATCAAAATTCAATTCATTTTTAAATTAAATTATTGTAAAAGATGAAGATAAAAATTTGATTTTTTAAAATATTATTTGCAACAAGAAAAGAATTTAAAATACTTGGGTTATTTCTTGTCAGACAACCATAAAATGAGATTTTTGGACAATCATCACTAAAATGAATGAAACTTGGCATATTAGTTATATATTTTTAGCTCAATCTGATCTAAGGTATGTCTTCAAAGTTGAAAATCATGTAAAGTGTGATTTTATTAAATCTCATTTAAAATAAAAATACTTGTGATACAAATTATATATAATTATATAGCCCTTAAAATTCTACATTAGAAAATATCTAAAATATTTAAAAATTCTAAGTATTTTAGTAAAAATTAATATTAACATTGTTGAGAAGCTATTTTTTTTAATGTTGATATTTGCTATGAGTGTTTATTACCTTTATATTAAACTGTTTAATAAAAAAAAATTGATAGCTTTTTTCATTTTTAAATTTTTTAAATAAAATAATATAATATAGATGGCGCTATGGTTTAAATAATCTGGATAAAATATTTTGACATATAGATCCAACCTTTCAATCAGCTGGAATGTTGGAACCAGAACTGCATTAAACTTATTTTTTCAGTTTCGATCCTAGATTTTTAAAAAAATATATATTTATCCAATCAATCTGATTGAAAATATTATTAAAAATTAAAGATTTTTATGGTATCAGCTTATATATTTTTTATTCCTTTCTTTCTTTTCTATTTTTAAACCAATAAATATGAAATTTAACAATCAATTAATGATTTTAAAGAACATATAAGGTAATTAGGCCTATTCAAAAAAGAATTAGAATGATTAATTACAAATACGAATAATAGATTATTTGTTTTATCCAAATATGATTAAATTTATTCGATTCAAATAAAACGAATTAAACTGAATATTTATTTAATTGATTTTAACCCTTCAATACTCTGGGGGGGGGGGTATATGAAACCCCAGGCATGCAAGAAATGATATTACATAAAAACGGTTAAATATTATGATCTGGATTCTTCAGTAGCTTCATCATATATATCTTAAAATATATATTCCAAATTTCATATATTTCGATTGAGTAGTTTTTAAGATAGCATTTTGTGACCAATTGGGGTTTGTGAGACCCCACCAGGGTAAATTTGTATGTTCTATTTTATATTTGAATGTATTAGTGTAATTTTTTTTATATTGAAGAATAAAGAACTATATTATGAATTATCATGATTATATGATGCATAAGTTATTTTTTTAATTTTATATTTGAAATTTAAAAAAAGTAATTTTTTAAAAATTTTGGCACAAATTATAATTATCCTCATCATCTTTAATCTAGGATTAAGAAATAAAAATATTTAAATATTTTATCAACCAAATATCAAATGAAAATAATGAATATTACTGGAGATATATACATTTGAAATTGGGGTCTATTAAACCCCACCCGAGTACTAACGTCATTTTTTTCACCGGAGTATTGAAGGGTTAATAAATTTAACATTTGTTATTTCTATTTGATGTGCCAATCTGACAGATGATATGTTATAAAAAGATTAGCACAAATTTAAAAAATCTCTGAAGTTAAAATGAAAGCAATATTTACATTTTTAGTTACTATATTTTTTTAATCTCAATAAATTAAATCACCAACACTTATTTCTTACTATCATGGGTTCGGAAGCGTTAGGGTTAGGTACAATAAATTATTGTTAGCTAACCTAATTTATGCTTGATGTTGAAGTTTACAAAATTTCCTCACAAAAAAAACGATTATATCAGATCAATAAAGACGGTGAAAAGGCAGCTTGCAATCATTGCAAAGCATTATAAAATGTAAAGGCAAAACAACGACCCCTCTTATTAATCATTATAATAGATTTCATTCACACCTCAGTAAAATGTGAAATTAAATTGACATTTTTTTAAAAGTTATTATCACCAATTTTTAAAAAAAAATTAATTCTAAGGATAACTTGCTAAAATTATTTATAATCTGAAGATTTATAACTGTATAATCAATATGCTCCAATACTGTTAAGTAAAATACATTTGCAGGAAGGGCTTCATCTTGCTTTATAGGAATACATTTCTTATCCTTGCCTTAACATTTATGTATTTATTGACGACATCATAAAAACTATTGAACAAGATATTGGTCTTGTACAAATTCAGTTAGACTATGGAAATATTTTTTTGAAAGGACAAAAAAATATCCAATAATTGATAAGATAAGGGAGATAATATTTCTCTACTATGGATGGGTATTATTTTAATCCTATTCAATATTTAGAAAATATGTCCAAATATATTTTTTTAAAAGTTATTTTTATTAATGATTTATCAGCTAAATAATTTAATACAACATTCACTTAATGCATATTTTAATCATGTCAATTTATCAGAAGTGGTATACATCAATTTTCAAATGTATGTTTCTATCATAATTATTGATTCAAAATTGCTCCATCATCTGAGCCGATATTTAAAAACGGCTAACTCAGTATTTTACCCAGAAAAATATTACTTAAGTTTGAAGATTGCTCGTAGATGGCGCAAAGGTTTGATATCTACTATCCAAATCTTGAGACTTATTCAATATTTTTCTGGCTAAAATATTGTTTGCCATTTTTAAACATCGGCTCAAATGGAGTGATTTTGCATCACTAATCATCACTCTATCGAAATTGGTTAATGTTTATATGCAGCGAGTAGTGCACTAATATGTGGGGAAGTTTGACACATGATAAACGATTCTATTTCATTTTCCCCATATATTTTATTCTATTTTATATATATATAGATATGTATTAATTATTTATTACCATTAATATACAATCGTATATTTATATATAATTGATATATTTGCAAAAGTATTTTTTTTATGGAAACATATTACCTAAATAACAAACAGTGTACTTCAAATAAATGAACCACCTATAAATAGTGCATTAGCCAAAGCCTTGATCGAGTTGGCATATAAAAATTCGGGTAAACATGAGATAAAAGAATGGATGTCATCAACCAATTCTTTTGACCAAATTTCAACGATTTATCCCATTTCATGTGACGTGTTATGCCTCTGGAATGGCCATAAAGCCATATGCCCAAATAATCAAGTTTATGTTAAACCAATTGCTCATAATCAAATGCAAGGAATGCAACAGCAAGTTACTCCTCAAGCAACCACACAATTAATGATGATTAAGAATATGTCGACGTCTATGGATAAAAGTAAAAATTTTAACATCCGAAAGGTTTCTATGAAAAAATATATGAACAAAAGGTGAGAAACAATTATTTCAAAGACTATGGTGGTTACCGAAGAAGTTCAAGAAGAGTTTGCAGAGATGGCGATTAATGAGGTGAATGAATAGAAAGAATTTTTGATGTTAATAGTTTTTTTTAATTGTATAATATAATAGTTTTTATTCATAGTTGAAATAGTTTTTTATTTTAAATATTTATATAAATTTGTTTAATATGCCTAACTTCTGAAAAATAAATGAGGTGTTCTATGTATATGTTTTTGTGTTGATATTTATTTTTAAAAAAAAGATTGTATTTGTAAAAAAAATATTATAGATAATTGTTTTTTTATGTGGAAAATAAAATATACGTTTTAGAAGAAGCCTTTGTTTTAAGAACTATCAGATAATTATTTTTGGTAATAATTAAGTAATTTTTGGGTAACTAATCATATATATTACACTAAAAAATTTATTTATGGATTTATTAATAAGTCTATTGACTAAGATATGCCCAATATTTTAAGAAACTTCGATATTTTATATTGGTACCGGATCGGGAACCGATATTATACTTTAAGACAGTATATTGTATCGACCAATATTTTTTTTAAAAATTAAACTATATATATTATATTTTTATGCATATTTTTTATTTTATTTTTATTCACATTTCTTATTTATTTTTGACTGATTTCTATTGTCGAGATAAATCTTAATAATAACTCCTATAAAAAAATGTGAAGGTAGGCCACACTTATAAAATAAGCATGCTACTCCGTTTTTTACATTTTTTAACGACTGGAGAAGTAAAATATATTATAATAAACCATCAAAAAACTAGAAAATTTTAAAATTTACGAAAATTTTAATTTTTAAAATGATTTTGTACGCAGCCTTAAAAAAAATTAATTTTTCATTTTTGATTATTTCATTTTGTTTAAATGCTCTTTTTTAGTTGTTTTACTTCCATAATTATATATTATTTTTTTATTTTCTCTTTGGATTATATTTAATCTCTTTTTTTAAAAAGGCGCCAGATATAATTATTATTTTATTTCTTTGAACGGAACTTTAAGTCACTGATATAAAATCTATAGCGGGTTCTCGGTTGTGGGTTCCCAATAATCCTATCATTTCAAATATTTTTTTTATTCCATTGAAATAAGAAAGAAAGAAACAAATCGTTATTTTATTAAATAATAAGCATATTGTATGGGTTATATTTATTTAATTCTTATTTAGAGGTGGATATATATGCACATCTGACCATTTCAAGCCCTTATGGTCAAAAAATGTTCCCAAGTTTGGTATTGCTCATGCACTTTGTTTAGGAGTAAAAATTTATCTTCTTTTGTTTCATGTCAACTATATTTAATTTAGTTAGCTCCTTGGTTAGCCGTTGAGATTCCAGATTTGATTCAAAAGGACCTGATAAAAGCTCAATCATGAATGATGATTATAAATGGCATATTTTTATAAAATAAAAACTTATTTATTAAATAAATTATTGTATGACATCTAATGCCAAATATGATAATTGTTATTTTTTAATATCTTTTTTCGGGTTTGGTTTAAAATTTTTAATGTAAAGGTTTAATATTAATTACTTTTCATACGAAGTATACCCATATATAGCTATAAATATAAAAAATTTTATGTTAAATATAGGAATAATTAGAACAAAATAGTTTAAAATTAACCCAAAATCTTATTGTCACAATTTATTGGCATATTGATTTTAATTATGACCTTTAATTTAAATATTATTTATACAGTTAAATGCGGTATTCCTGAGTGAGAAAAAAACGTCCTATTTTAAAAACATTGGTTAAAATATTATCATATAAATGCAAATTGCTAAATGAGAATTATCGGATAAACATGAAGATTTATTGAGAGATATTTAATCAAACTTACTAATTATTCATAATGTCAAACGCTGAGAGATTTATTAAAGAAATGAGAATAATGAATAATAAATACAAAAATTTGTCTTAAATAATATAAGTATATGAAATTATTACAAGTTAAACCTAATTAATCATTAATAAATTTTAAAAATCTAGTTTTCTCCCCCACTACTCGGCATTTAAACGGTTTTAACTAGTGTTGCGTAATCGGCTAATTTTAGCCGACTAAAAACGGCTTAGCCGAGATTTTAGGTGGAAAAATCGGCTAAGCCTAATTAGGTATAGCCTAAAAATCGGCATCGGCTAAACCTAATTAGGCTAAGCCTAAAAATCGGCTAAACCTAATTAGGCTAAGCCTAAAAATTGGCTAAAATAAATTAGTCAAAATTTTGCATCGATGTTAGCATTAATTATTATTTATTTATTTTAGTAAAATAATTTATTTTATTTATATTTAATGTAAATATATTATTATTATCAACAAATAAACATGATATGATTTAATAATTTTTATTTATATTATTATATTTTGAAATGAAAATAAATTTATTTATTTGATGTTTTTTTAATAAAAAAAATAATATGCTGCTATATTCGTCAAAAAACTTTAAAAATAACGATTATGACAATTGTCACTTTTCTATGGTACATCTTCACTAAATTTATATTTACACATGTTATTAATACTTATTTTAACATATTTTCGTCAAAAAACTTTAAAAATAGCGATTATGACAATTGTCACTTTTCATTGGTACATCTTCACTAAATTTATATTTACACATGTTATTAATACTTATTTTAACATATTTTCGTCAAAAAAATTCAAAAAACTTTAAAAATAACGATTATGACAATTGTCACTTTTCTATGGTAAATATTCACTAAATATATATTTACACATGTTATTAATACTTATTTTAACAAATTTTCGTCAAAAAAATTCAAAAAACTTTAAAATTAACCAATATGACAATTGTCACTTTTCATTGGTACATCTTCACTAAATTTATATTTACACATGTTATTAATACTTATTTTAACATACTTTCTTCAATAAACTTATAAAAGAACGATTATGACAATTGTCACATTAAAATATCATCCTTAAAAAGATCATATAAAATAACATCAAAAAAGTTTCATAAAATCCACCTCATTTAATAATAAATAGATAATTTTAAAAAAATGATAAAAGATTTCACCTAAAAGATTGTTTATTTATCTAATAAAATTTACAATATAATTCCTCAATAAAAGATGTATTTACAAAGAAGATTGTGAAAATCACTAATAAAGAATATTACATTTTTACAATATAGCAGCATATTATTTTTTTATTAAAAAAACATCAAATAAATAAATTTATTTTCATTTCAAAATATAATAATATAAATAAAAAAATATTAAATCATATCATGTTTATTTGTTGATAATAATAAAATATTTACAATAAATATAAATAAAATAAATTATTTTACTAAAATAAATAAATAATAATTAATACTAAGCATCGATGCAGAATTTTCACTAATTTAATTTTAGCAGATTTATATAGGCTTAGCCGATTTTTAGGCTTAACATAATTAGGCTTAGCCGATTTTTAGTTTTAGCCGATTTTTAGGCTTACCTAATTAGGCTTAGCCGATTTTTAGGCTTAGCCTAATAGGCTTAGGCGTAGTTTTTAGCCGATTACGCAACACTAGTTTTAACTATATCTTTAATCCTGTTCAATGTGGTTATAGAATTCCAATCTTGAAAATTCTCACGACAAACATGTGTAACTGAGATAGATATGTCTATTATTGCTAGTTGATAAAGTTCATAGGCTCTAACTTCCCAATAACAATAATATCATTGCTTTTATAAATCCGTTAGATGCCGTTAATTTATAATGGTAACTCTAAAGATAGTTGATAACTATTTGTTAAAAATAATAAAGTACATAAATATAAAGCATAGTTAGAATACCTATTTGCATAATTTATTTGATAATATAAATGTATCAAATTAAAAGTTAAAAAATATAAAAATTATAAAGTGATAGAAATATGAAGATTTTTTTTCGTTATTAACATTTTTGATATCTATTTATCAGAAACCTGAAGGGTACCAATTGTGCGACCCGACCTGGATTAATAAAAATATTTGACCTAGCCAGGTCCGAATTTTTTTTAAAAATATAATTTTTGGCCCTGCCGTGTAAATAAAATTGTTTTGAAATGATATAAGAAATATGAGAAGTGAAATGTGGTATATTATTCAATTATACAGCAATTTTTAAATTTATTTTCTTTTAAAATGTTGTATTCCATATCAAATCAATGCAAGCCGATTCGCTTTTTTTTAAAAATTATGGTAGTATATACATTTAATAGTAAAAATATAAAATTTTGAATCCCAACTCAGCTTACATCCTGGGATATGGCCAACATCTCTATGCCATGGGAACGCATTCATTTAGATTTCGCGGGACCTATCGATTCGTATTCATTATTAGTTGGAGTTGATGCATTCTCTAAAGTTGATGAAAGAGACCTCGTCTATAGCAAATATCAGGGAGTTAAGGCATATTTTGAAACGCTGAAATTCCAAAATACACTATTCAATTATCAATTTCTAAAAAAACAAAAAATATTTAAACTAAATCCATAATATTAATTTTATTAAATATCTCTATTTTAAAGTTTTAACCAAGGATAGTTTTATTTTTAAATTAAGTTTTTATTTCCAAAAAATTTTTAATTATATATAAATTTAATTGTTAAATTTTAATCAAGTATTGTTTTTTTTACCTTAATGAAGGGTTATAAAAAAAATCAATTCCAGTTTTCTTTCAACTTTAATTTTTGCCAAAACATCTTGCCCAGAAAAATAGTTTTAAAAAAAAGCAAATTTGGAAAAACGACAACTGTTTTTATTTCATTTTTAACTATATATATATATCTACTATAAAATAAAGACAAATTGATTAATAATATTATTAATCTAAAAATAGCAATTTTTATAATATATTAAAAGCATGAATGCGGAAAAAAATCAAAAAAAAATATTAATCATAAATAAAATGCTTATCATACAAAATGACTCCACACAATATACTTAAAAAACGATACACATAACACGCTCCCACTAATTGAAAACCAAACTTCGCATTTCACCTCTCACCCGGCATAATTATCGTCTCTTTATGGAGTTTTCACGAATTTAAAGGGTGGTTAGCTCCTTGAGTCTCCTCCCTTTGTGTGCCGCTATTGTCTATTCCTTATACAAATCATGTCTTAATTCAACCAGGCTCCATTTATCATTTGCACATTCCATTAACCATTTTGTTCCAATAACACTTATATGGCTGATTCCCCTTTATTATTATCAATCACCCTGCATTGAGTTAGCATACCTCTGGAACTGCCCCCTTAAATTTTCCTCTGATATATTAAGCACCATACAAAGATGAATATTTTTTCACCATGAATTTTTGATCAATTATATCCTCATATTTATAATTCCGTTCCTAACCTCCCAGGTTCCACCTTTTCAATTAATCTCGATGCCGTACTCCCTCTCTTCCGTTGATGAATTTCACTATTTAATTTGTGTCCCATGTTCCATGATCACCCCAGATTCCCATTTTCATGTACCTCCATATATTTTTGCCCACACGGTTTGTCCCACTACAAACTCAGGCGTCTCCATTATTTCCCTTTCCACCTCTTGATGTGGTTTCGGCTTTAATAAATCCAATAATATCCTGGTTCGCCGCCCTAAATACTTCTCTGCCGGAGACTGTTCTTCGCCCTTTCGACTATTGTTGTAATACGCCACTGCTATCCAAATTTCCCCACCTCCATACTTTGATTTTCGTAATTAGTTTTTGACAATCGACACCATCCTCTCCGCCTGACCATTTGAACTGGGAGGATATGTCGGCGCTAAAATATGCTTTACCCCTGTTTCTACGCAAAACATCTTAAACTGTTCACTGATGAAAGCTGGATCTCGGTCAGATACTATCGTTTGAGTTACTCCAAAATTGGCCCATAGATTTTTCAACGTTTTCACTACCACTTGCGTCGTTAGCTTTCCTCGTATTCCACCCACTTTGAGTAAGCATCTACCACGCGTATATAAATCTTATTTCAAAGTCAAAGAAGTCAACGTGAACCCGCGGCCAAACACTATTCATGTCTTTATGGGGCATCTTGGCCCACGTATTGCACATAAAATAACTCTTACTGATATTTTCGATATCTATTCATCCCTAGCTACCACACATATTCTCGGCCCCATTGCTTCATCCTCTCCACACCTTGATGCCCCTCATGAATCATTGTCAACACAGCATCCCTTAATTTGAGCGGCACTATACCTCTATTCCCTCGTACCACACATCAATCTACTATGGCCAAATTTTTTTCTATATATTTGAATGGTCTCCATCTCGCCATGTCTTCCGCCCTTTCATGCATGCTTTCATACGAGTTAATTCGCCATACTTTAATGTGGCATTCTTGAGTTGATCACGTTACCGGTCCTCCTTTAGATATTCCTACCATAGCCCTAATCAATCCCTGCTCATCCTCCTCCTCCATACCGTTTTACTCACTATCCCCGAAATTCCTTTCCACATCTTGAAAAAATATCCGGTAAATAATTTTCTCTTCCACGCCAATATTTTAATTGTA